TTTGGTGGTCAGTTGCTCAACGGTAGCCCGTCTATCTGCCCGAACGCATCTCCGCAACCGTCGTTCGCCTCTGTCATCTATGGCCCGTGGTGCACCACATTTGCCACGTCGCTGATTTTGGACAGTCCCATTTTGCCATGCACGGTACACTTTTACCACGGCGGCACGCGAACAGTTCACAAACTCAGCCGTTTCGGAAATGCTTCCACCCTTGGCCCGAAAGCCAATGATCATGCCCTTTTGGAAGTCGGATAAATCGCTTCGTTTCTGCATTACGCCAACGATTGAAATGTTTTCCGAAGCCCTCACACACCCTTTATATACGCTCAACTGCACTATGCTGCCACCTGCCTTCTGTGATTGGTTATTTAACTCTGACATGGAAAGTACGTGGTGGTCACATTAATGTGACTGCACTGTGTACATTCTTACAGATATCACAAAAAATATTCTGGGCCGTATATATATGGCCTTGCCGCTTAGAGGGTTAATGCATATTGCATTTTCAAATTAAAGAATTTTTTTAACACAATTATTGTAAGTATAATCCTATTCTGAAAAATGCATATCTAAGTAAAAAATCTCATTTTTTCATAATTAAAGGAAAACAAAATGAGAAGGATCTTAAATTGTAGTGTAGACACATCATGTGAGTTATACAGTCAAAAGTCTTTAATCTGGAATGATCTAGAAATTCGGACCTCAAAGCTACAAACTTTCTGTGCATGATACCTTTACGCATGTGCATATGCGTTTATGCATGCACATAATACATTTACGCATGCACGTTTAATGTATAATAGATGGTATAAGCTAAGCTAAAATTATCTATTTCAGTTAACCCCTTCGAGCTGGGTAGCGAAAACGCGCGCTTATCGCGGAGGCCGGCAGTGTCTTCCGCGAATGTCTCTCCAGACCGGGGCTTTTTTGCTATAAGCGAAATCCATGAATTTCGAAGTATCAACGCATTGTTTAATAATGCTCTATGAGTATTTAAACGGCTTATGCTTGATAGCTATTTTATATATATCTTTAATTACATTATTTCTTGTCTAAATGCATATTTACACATTTTATTTTTTAATTATCACCTTTATGACTTTTACATATACATCTGAAAAAATAATAACTTAAAATTCTCTTTCGATGAAAATTTAAAACAGGGATCTACAACAGTCCTACTACTTCCTTGAACTCGTAATAACTCATTGCATTTGGAGGATTTTTCCGGGATGTGAACAAATGAAGCATCGTCGTCTCATTTTCTTAGCATCTCTTCTGACAAGTTTTGGAAAAGTCTTTCAGTTATCTTCAGAATAATATCAAAATATCGATTCAGAATTAATCGAATATTTTGCATCATTTTTGCTTGCTGCTCTTTAACTTGTCGATGCTCGTCATTGAAACGGTAAAAACAGAAAGAATCACGTCTAACAAGATCTATTATTTTCTAAAAACTGAACTGTAACGGAAAATACAACGCTTTAGCGCATATAAAACTTCTACTTACACTAAACAACTACAGTGCGAATAAGTGCGATTAAAGAGAGTCATAAATCACACCATCGAACATTTAGTTCCGTTTTTTATATAATCAAAAACCGTGTATCGAGTCAGCTTCTCTCATTTCGAGTAAGGTAATTGCATGTATTGAAACCATATGGACATACATGCCTCTGTGCAGAAATTATAGTTTGAAAACGTTCCAGGTACTGGATTAAATACGTGACATTCGTAGAAAATGCAACAATGGTTGGCACGCCTGCGTGTCAGCCGGTAATAGCGTGTTCGTTGCTGGCTCTATACTGACAGTCGGCCGAAGGGTTATTTTGCAGATGTACGTTCCTTATCTCTAATGGATCCGTTTTTTTTTGCAGACTGTAGAGCATTTTATAAAGAAGCTTTAACTTTGATTATGTCAATGAATTTCCGATGATGGCTCACAAAGCGAAAGTAGTTTCATGTCATCAAACAAATGTGATGCTTGCTGCAAAAATGATAACGCATATGCTTTGTTTCTCTAACCATTCGAATTGTTTTATCAATCCGCGCTTTGCGGGGGGAAACGTCGTGGCGTGCAATGAAATGGAAGTTGATATGTCAGCACTATCTTATATCAGGGCAGATGTTTATTTTATTCGGCTTAATTCCTTTATAAAGTAGCTTTCATATCAATACTCAGTTTTGATATGATTTAAATCAATTTCCTCGTCATAAAATATCACGAATACACATCAAATAGTTTTCTGGTTGCAGTTTTCTAATTTTATGCTAATGATGCTTTAAGCAGGGGAGTGAAGAAATGTTTAATAAAAAACTAATAATTTAAGCTTTTTTTTGAAATTTTGATACCACTTTATATCATACTTGCTCATTATTTCATAAATTACAGTTTATATTTTTAATTTTGTAATTTCTGCATGCCATCCTACCAGATTTATACTTATGATCTATAATCGAGAAGAACTGATAATACGGAATCGCGGAAGTCCTGACGAGTCCGGATTAAAGACTTTTGACTGTATTCTATTTAATGTAAACCTTTTTAATTTATCAGTTTATAATTTTGTATTAAAATAAAGCTCCTTAATGCATAAACTTTCTTTTTCATAATATTTCTATTTTATCTTTGTGCATTTTAATGCCATTTATATCTTTGTGCCATTTAATTTCCATTTTATCTTTGTTCCATTGAAATTAATCTCTACCTGTTGCTGCATCAGTGCTTTATAATTTATGATCTTTTCTACTTGCAGTTTGTAATGTTTTATCACAATATTTAAAATGAATACTTTTAAATGGTATTTAAAGTGCTTTGATGATTAAAAGCTGGGAAACAGAAATTTATGATGTCTGCCTTTTTATATTAGTTATTTATGTAATTTTATTATATATTTTATAAACTGTTGCATATATTTTTATATTATTCACCTCTTTTGTATTTTGTATTACCTATTTATGCTATCTGACAAATTTACAGTTTATGACCTTTTTGTCATGTAGAATGTATTTGTTATCTTAATTTCTTCTCATTAATGTAATATTCCAGTTTAAAAATAATTTTGGTAATGCTAAAAATTCACTGACTGTTAAGTATTGATAAAGCAAAAATGAATTAATATACCATTAAAATACACACGAGCTTACTATAAAAATTAAAAATATTAAACAAAATTCTTTAAATTATAGGTATTTTAAATAGTTATGTTTAAATGTAACATCTAACATTTATTGTTTTTTCAATGGAGGCTGTTCAAGCTGCTAAACAAGTTGGATATCCTGTACTGGTCCGTACAGCTTATGCATTAGGTGGTCTGGGCTCTGGATTTGCACATTCTGAAGGCAGATTGCGAACATTAGTTACACAAGCATTAGCTCGATCACATCAAGTTCTGATTGACAGATCCCTTAAAGGTTGGAAAGAAGTTGAATATGAAGTTGTGAGGGATGCTTATGATAATTGCATTACAGTAAGTTATCATTCTAGCTTTCTTTATTGCAGAATCAGAGTTAGAAAAATATTATACACAATGGAGATTAGAGTTAAGAGAGACAATAATCTCTCACCCCGTTGCCCTGACAGTAAATTATATCAAACAATTTGCTGTATAGTGGTATACTGATTATTAGTTCAGTATTTCGAAATTTTATGCATCACATTCTAACATTGTTATTGTTTTACAAACGTCTTACCTCATACCATAGATTGAAGTTGATTCTTTTTTTTTTTATATAATTTTTTATTCAGTGCTACAAATTCCTGTTTATGTTCTAGCAAAGCAATAAAAATTAGAATTTGTAGTCCCTGTTATGTATTTTATTTATTTGCTTTTAATTCTTTGATGTTTTGCATTTTTTTTTGTTTTGTTCTGTGTATACCATTTCCTCCATTATATTTTTTACGCGAAGGGTAAATCAAATGATTCCAAGGATTGTTATGTAAAAAGTGTCATGCATATGCTAGCATTTTATTGTTTTTTCATTTTTTTTCATTAGGAAACTGATATTTTTTTTCAATTCCTTTAACTATTATTTTTATAAATTAATGTAATTCATACATTTTCTATTTAAAAAAGTATAGTTTCTTATTTCCTGTGTCCATTGAATTAATCAATTGATTTATTAACATATTTATTCAAATCAAGTGCTGTATTATTTAAATAGGGCTACTTTGTCAGTATTTTTTGTTTATTCGAATATATTTTATTATAATTTTGTTTAGTCAAGGTCCTAATATATAAGTATACATGAGGGTTGTTTCCAAAGCTATAGGCATTAAAGTAAAAAAAAAAAAAAAAAAAAAAAAATACGTATACATTCCATCAATTTTTATCAATATTACAATGCAGTTTTTCAGCATAATCCCCATTTAATTGAATGTGTTTATCTCAATGTAAATAACTTTTCTAAGCCATCGTCAAAGAACTTTACCAGCATCTTCTCAGTTCACCTATTTATGGCATAGTTAAACTTCTCAAATCGAACACTGCATAAAGGTTTTTTTCAAATGTGGGAACAGAATATTTCTCATAGATATTAAACAGTTTCTGAAATTTTCACACCATCTTTCGATAAAAAGAAGCTGATTGCACTTTTTAGCTTCTAAGGTTGCAAAAAAGTGATATAAAAATAGCCTGCATCATAAAACAACTGAATCAGATAAACAGTATTTCAAAGGATAACTGCATAAACATGTCAAGACTTGTTCTCTGGCTGATAGTGTTGCCTTATAAGTTCTAGTAATTGAACTAGAGCTCAATTCTGAGAAGTTTTGAAACACCTTATGTGTGTATACATATATACACACACACACACACACACACACTAGGAAAGTATATACAGTCAAAAGTCGTTAATCCGGACTTTTCGGGACTTCGGCGATTCCGGATCATCGATTTTTCCGGATTATAGATCATCAGTTTAAATCTCGTCAAGATGGGCATGCAGAATTCTAAAATTAAAATATGAAACCTTAATTATGAAATAAAGACAATATAATCTAAAGGTATCAAAATTTACAAAAAAAAAGCTTAATATTTATTTGTACTTTATTAAAATTTCTTTCAATGTAATTGTTTTAAGTGCTTCGTTTTATGTGATAATACTTTCTTTAATCTATAAACAGACACAATTTCTTTTCAGTTACAAAGTTCGCTGCAAGTCCGTAATTGTGTGCGAGATAACCGACTAACTTGTCAATGAAATTTTTCGTTTTCACTAACCTCTCTGTCATATTTCTTGTCTTTATCGATTTTTGAAGCAATTCCACTTTTTGTTTGATGGACATCGAAACATCTTTCGTTTTGTAGATCCTTTGGAAGTTCCAGCATCGGAAATTCTATTTGACTAATCGAAAGTTCAAGTTTACTTTTATAAAATTGCTCTTACAGTCTGCAAAAAATAATAACCGATCCATTCGAAGATTAAGAAACAACGCATCATTAACATTAACTGAAATGAATTAGATAATTTTAGATTATACCGTCCGTACATAAAACGCACGCGAAAACGTATTCTGCACTGCGCAAGCGTATATGCGCATGGTAAATTCTTCCGCACGTAAAGCGCTCATGTGTCAACCGGGAATGCGCAGAAAGTTTTTAGCTTTGAGGTCCGGATATAGATCATTCCGGATTATGGGTGTCCGAATAACGACTTTTGACTGTAATAGATATCTATAAGATAGAAGATGTAAGGAAAGTATATATATTTTTATTTATATTTCTTTTTTTATATATATTAGATACATTGTTGGAACAAAGTACAGAAACAGGTACAGTAAGAGCCCAACTGTCCAGCATTAAATTAACTGAAAAGCTCACGTAACTAGAATATTTTAGAAAAATTTAGTAAATGAGAGATTTATAACACCATTATAGAGCACGTGATACTATTATCATGTGTCGCCAAACAGTATGATTTAGAAACAATAATGGACAAGCATGATGTTATAACACAATCATAAGATGGTTGTTTAAATTCTCGATCAGTCAGTTTAATTTTTGCAAAGAAAAATGTATTGATATTTGCATATTACCGCAACAACTGTGACACAGTTTGGCAGTTTTTTACAGATTAAAAGGTAAAAGTTATTTATTGGTGGTTTTCATGACTTTTTAAAAAATATTCCCAAATTATTGATATTTATTGTAAGTTGGCAAACATCATCAACATAATGAAAAAGAACTTTAGTAAATTAAATTACAAATTTTAGTTTTTAAATAAGAATTATGCGATACATTAAAAATTAAAACACTTAAATTTTTCTTCAAATATTTATAATAATTTTTTTTTGTGCTGTTCTTCTCCTGAATAATGCAGCAATTTGTTTACTCTTAAAAAAAAAAGCAGAGAATTGTGAAAATATGGCATTATGCAAACGTTTGGTAGGTAACATCAGCTACTCATGAAACACATCTTTTTGTTCCGTTTAGAGATTTTAACTCAAAATTTTGTATTCCTGAAGAAATTTTACAGCTTTTTCAACTGCTCGCGAATTCCACGAGCACATATTTTGAAATTAACTGTAAAACACAAAATATCATGTTTTCTTTATAAAAGTGATAAGGACAGGATAAATTCAACAAAGAAATGTATGCAAAAATGGTTATACTGCTTGACTAAATTAAAGTTAGGAGCATAATTGCCTGAAAAATCATTATATGCATAGTTGTCAGACTTTGGCACATTCTAAAAATTTGTCAACTTGTACTAAGGTGGTTGCAATAGCAGTACATAACTATTTAAGTTCTGTTTTTTTCCCGTGCATTTAAAAAAATAAAAAAAAACAGTAATATTTGGGACTGCATGAAGTAATCAACATTACAGGATCTGGTCATTAACAAAAGCCATGATAGGCAACTTTGAAGATTGATAAACAATGCTGATGTATTGTGAAATATTATGCACAATTTAAGTTTTTTTATATGCAGTGTCTGTCATGATTTAAGTTTTTTGTATGCTGTATCTCTTTATTATCTAACTAAATAATGGACAAACTGTTCATTTAAATTTCTGCCAGAATGACTGGCAACATCTCTGCAAACTTTTATGTTGGGCAGAATTTCATAATGAAATCAAATGTTTTAATTGTATGTTTATGAAATATGTCAGCTTTTATGCCTAAAATGTATTTTTTTTTTTCAAAATCTTTTTTAACTTTAAATGTAGGCTTTTGATATTCAAATTGGTAACAAATAAGAAGATTGTTTTTGCAATTTGAAGGTGAAAATTTTCTTCCATTTATTTGGCCTTTCTAAAGTGATTCCGGTTTTTGCACATTCAGCTATTTGGAATTTTCACATATCCAGAATATGACATTTCATGAGCTTTCCAGATAGTCATACTTTTACTGTAATATAAAATAATTTTTATTACAAAAAAGTTTTAATGCTAGTTAATCTGCAAACATTTTCTCATTCCATTTTTCATAGTGAAATAACAATTTTAAAATTATTTTCTTCTAGGTTTGCAATATGGAAAATGTAGATCCATTAGGAATTCATACAGGAGAATCTATTGTTGTTGCACCAAGTCAAACTTTAACAAATGAAGAATATAATAAACTCAGAACTACAGCAATCAAAGTTGTTAGGCATTTTGGTATTGTAGGTGAATGCAACATTCAGTATGCTTTAAATCCTGAGCAACAAGAAGTAAGTTTATATGTCTTTGAAATTATTATTTTTATTGCTTAAAATTATAAAATCTGAATCTGACATCTGTTGAATTGTCTCAAGAAGAAAATGATGAAAACTTAATTTTTTGTGATAGACTTTGTTTTCCTAATTGTTGTTATCAAAATAGTTTTGCATCTTTTTACTATTTATATTGTGTTCTAAAAATATGCTATTTTTTCATTTATTGAATTTTCATTTTTCAGTATTATATAGTTGAAGTTAATGCCAGGCTATCCAGAAGTTCTGCTCTAGCAAGCAAAGCGACAGGTTATCCTTTAGCCTTTTTTGCTGCCAAACTTGCTCTTGGAAAGTCTCTTCTTGAGTTACGGAATTCTGTCACCACTACAACTGCATGTTTTGAACCTAGTTTAGATTACTGTGTGGTAAAAATGCCTCGATGGGATTTAGGGAAGTTTCCTCATGTGAGCACAAAGGTGAGCCTATCATAATTAATAAATGATGCATTACTATTATTTTTTTTTTTTAATTTTCTGAGATTAGTATATAAAATTATTTGATGAATAAAAGTAAAATGATATATCATGATAATCTATACTTTATTTCTTAATTTCATTTTATGTGCACATTTAAATGAATCAGAAGTACACTGATTTCAGTTTATTTGAAGTATTTTTAGCTAAATGTATGTATTTACATGATCAATAGAATGCCTAGAAAAACTGTGCAAAAGAAAAGTGTGTGAAATAAAGATTAAATAGAAAATTAATTTCAGACAGGAAAACACAGGATAAATGGCAAGCTGTTTTAAACACATTGTTATTCATTAAAAAATACTTTGCTGGCCATTAAAATTTCTACATCATATAGAAAAACATTTAGCTGAATTATATGAATTTTACAAATGCAGTGCAATACAAGGATTAAAAGCTCAGATAATTTTGAGATGCAGAACTTGCAGAAATCAGAATCTATAAGCATTCTTCTCCGACAAATGACTAGTTGTTATATGGCTGGACATAGCATTGAATAGACTTTGGATTTCAGTTATGGATACTGCAGTCCATATGGCTTCAGTTCCATGCCAGATCTCATCCATCATATTGGCTATTAGTTGTTGTTGTGCGAGCCTTGCAACCATGACACATTTTCAGTTAATGAGAGATCTGTAGAATGTCTTGGCCAAGGCAGGAGTCAAACATCATGTGTAATAAGAGAATAAAAATGGACAGTATGGGTTAACTAGTCTCACATTATCCTATCGAAAGGTGGGGCAACAGAGGCTGTAAAGCTATGGCACAACCGTGCCATGAGCATTAAAACCTCAGTAATGTAATGATGGCTCATCAGAGTAACTGGATATGCAATTTAGAAGTGAGTGGGATGTGTAGTAGATGAAACCACATATTGTCAGTTTGTGGTCTGGGCCATTAATGGAGAAGAATGCAAGCTTCAGTGTTCTTTTACCTCAGTTCCATCACACATATAGTTATGGCTATCATGACGCTGTAAGCAAAAGTGGGGTTTGTCAAAAAAGATATTGTTTCACTGATGCATCCATTTTGAGGGATGCAGAGTGAAAAGCATTCCTATGCTGTTGAAGTATTGTATATCATTTTATATAGTCCTAGTAGGTCACAGAGTGTAAATTCTCAAAATAATTAGGATTTTGACTAGTGCGAGCAGCAGTTGTGCAGTAAAATAATCAGGCTGTAATTCTTCCACAACTAAACTCTTAAGTGTGCTGCGAGTTCTTTCTTCTGATATGAAGAAAGACATGACAGCATGACGTTCTGACATGACAACCTCCAATGCTGAAAAATAATGAAAAGCAATTTCTGAATGATAAAAAAGGTATTTCAGTTTGCTTTTTTATATTAATTTGAAATGTAATTACTCTTGTCTATAGTACTATAATTCTTGTAAATAGTACTACTCTTTACTTGTTGATAGCATGCACATGTTGTGAAATGTTAAGCATTTGCATATCCCAGCATTTCTACCTTCCATGCAAATTTCAGTTTTGTTTTATACTTCTTTCACGGTGTAGCAATTTTAATGGCCTACAGTGTACACTTTTTAATACATTAATCAAGGAAGTTATGTTTGCATACATATAGAAAATTATTTTTCATTTTGGAAATAATATGTCAACTGTACAAAATAATACAAAATATGATTTACATATGCTCATATTGATTTTACCTTTATCTGCTTTTTGACAGTAGATACGTTTGTTTATATAACAACTGGAATTAAAGTCTCTTTCATTACTTGAATCATTTCAGCTGCATCATTTGTATTTTAATAATGTTAAAATATAATGTATTAATGTTGAAATGTTGTTTGTAATATGATATATAGTTATATTTGTGTAATTATGAGGGAGGGGCTTTAGTTTACAAAATATGTATTTGTGGTACATTTTTAAAGTTTACAACTACTTCAGAAATATGAGTACAAGAATGGTATCTTAATTAGAAGTTTTAGAAAATTTTTCTTGAGTGAAAATCTTTGTTTCCGATTTAATTTTAATAGGGAATTCAAAAGAAGCATTATTTCAACTGTGCTATATCAAAATGAATTGCGTAAAATGATAAATCTACTTTTACTAAACCATATTTAAAAAAGGTAGCTATTATAAGAACAATGCTGGGTGTGTCATATTATGTTTCCTGTTTGAAAATGAAGGTGAGAATCAAAATTTATTAATCTGTGAAATCAAAACTGCTATTTGTTGCATAATTTTTAACCAGTTAATTGTGGCGCCGTCGTTTAAGAGTGTGCACCGTTTTGTGTCACTAGAATCGAGCCATGACGAGTATATTCATCAATCGCAGAGTAAGTTGCGCTGGTAAGATATTTGATGAAAAAGATGCGTTTATTTTATAAAATTGAAAATTTTATTACTAAATTTGCTTATAACATTATTACATACATATTAAACTAAACTGCATAATTAAATTAATATTCTACATATAAAAGTAAGAATTTAAATTCCTGCTGTGGAGCGATATTCAGCCGAAATAGGCAATATACACAATTAGGGTCTAAATATCGAGTTTTGTGTCAATTTATTTCTTTCAATTGGATACGTGCAAAATATCTTCAAGCTGTGAGTAAAAAGTTGATACGCGTAATGTTCCATTATTCGTTTTATATAATATATGAATGCATTCAAACACATAATTGTAAGAATGGAGAAATATCTTTTTGTATAGTACTTTTTGAGTCCATTTCTTGCTGTGGAGTACGCTATGATAATTCATCATCATATCCACTCCACCCATTTTTTGTTATTATAATCAATCGCTAGCTCCGGTTTCTTTTTGTTATTATTTTCTTTTCTTGTTTTCTATTACGTTGTCATTAGTCCATACAGTAGACCCCGCTTAAACGTGGGGGATACGTTCCATCAAAATAGAGCGTGATGCGAAACAGCGATAAACGAGGCTATCTTAACATGTAAATAATGGGGTTAGGGGAAGATGGATAGAAAATTGGTTAGGTATTAAATTTAATAATGTTTTTTTAATAAAAATAAAACCAAAGATTTATTTCTTGCAAAAATAAAAACAATATAAACAAATATACTTATAAAAACAAATAAAATTCTCAGTCAGATCATTCAGTCTATTCTGTGTTTTCAATTTTTTGCCTTTTTGTCAAAAAGGCATCTAATGTAATTTGCGTTTTCCTTTTGCATTCTGTTAGAAGTTGTTGATCAGTGGATAAAGCATCTATAACATCCCGTCTTGCTTTTGAACTCCTGTCAAAATTTGGATCATTTTCAACAAATTGGTCCATAATTTCAGTTATAGTGGTCAAACTCCTTTTTTGCAAATGCCATCGAAAGTTCGTTTTGCTCTTCTTCGAAATCACTACTATCAATATTTTTGTTTTCTTCTTGCTCAGTTAATTCCTTGAGCTCATCATTAGAAAGACTAGCTGCTGTTTCTTGAACTATTTCTTCGACGTCTATTACATTTACCTCATCTAAACCGGTTTGTTTTGGTAATTCCACTATTTCTTCCACTATTTCATCCATATCAACAGAGTGCCCAATGTCTTTGCTCTTACTTAAATCTGGCCAAATGTTCTTCCATACTTCTTTCAAAGATCTTTCTGTTATCTCATTCCAAGAAAGATTTATGTTTTCTACAGCATTAATGATATTGTAGTTTTTCCAAAATTTTCTTATTGATTGCTTCTCTTCTCCATCTGTTTTTTCAAACATCTGCTTAAATGTTCGCTGCAAGTAATAAGCCTTAAAACTGGATATAACGCCTTGGTCCATTGGTTGGATTAAGGCAGTTGTGTTAGGCGGCAAGAAAACCACTTCGACTGGAATGCATGTTGTTAAGTCTGATAAATTTGTTATGTAGCTTGGAGCATTATCAATTAATAGTAGTGCTCTTTGTTCAAGTTTTTTAATTTCGCAATAATGTTTAACAGATGGGCAGAAATGTTCAGTAAACCAATCCTGGAAAATTTTCATAGTTATCCATGATATTTTATTAGACTCCCAAATTACAGGTAAAGTTGATTTAGATATGCCTTTTATTGCTCTTGGGTTTTTGGAGTGGTAAACTAGTAGTGGTTTTAATTTGAAATCTCTGCTTGCGTTACCACCCAGTAGAAGTGTTAAGCAATGTTTTGCAGCTTTAAATCCTGATGCTCATATCTCTTCATGGGATAGAAATGTTTGTTTTGCCATTCTTTTCCAAAACAGGCCTGTTTCATCAACATTAAAAACCAATTCTGGAGGATAGTTTCCTTGTTCAGTTATTGTTTTTAATGTCGCTTGGAATTCAGCCGCCGCTTTCGTATCACCACTTGCTGTTTCTTCTGTAATCTTTGTTGTGAACATTATTTCGATGTTTAAATCTATTAAACCATCCTTGATTAGCAACAGAAGTTTCACTTATGTCACTTGCCTCAGCCTGAATGTAATTAAAAATTCTTCTAGCTTTTCCATTATGATAGAAAAGTCTTAATGACATATTGCGTTCAATTTCGTCGTTAATCCATATAGACAGTTGTTTTTCCATTTCCTCTATAATGTTATTTCTAGAACTGGTAATTCTAGTTGCAGTTGCCAGTGACAGTATTTTTTCTTTATTCTTAAGAATTGTCCTTATTGTTGAAGTTGCCAAATTCAATGCAGCATTAATTTGAGGTTGACGTTCACCAGAATCTAATCTTCTAATCACTTGCATTTTAGTTTCCAGTGAAATGCTTTTTCTGGTTGCTTTCTTTTTTTTTTTTTTTTTTATTCACCCCATTAAAAACTAAAGATCATAATATTTGTACTGTATTATCATTATAGTATTATTATAATTTAATACTTGCAATAATGTCAACAAATGTTTCAAAGGATAAAAATGCATCCATACAGCACCGCACCAAACAAGAAACACAACTACACTGTTTCGGATATGTTATTTGGAAACTTAGCGCTGCGCACAATTTCGGGGAATCCCTGTAGTGCTGCGCACAATTTTGGGGAATCCCCGGGTTGAAATAAAAGAGCGCTAAACGAAACAGCATTAAGCGGGGTCTTACTGTATTTACTAAATAAACATCCCTCTTATCTTTCCATTTCATTATACGCGTGACGAGTATACTCGTCAATACATAAAATCGTGCCGCTTCTCCATGACAAATATACTCGTCAATCACAGTTAACTGGTTAAAGACATTTTGTTCTTCTGTGCTAATTAAAAAATGAATGTCTAAGTTCCAAAAAAAGTCCCCCCCCCCCCAAGTTTCTGAAAAACAAATCTTCAGTTTTTAGCTTAGTAAACCTTTGTGCTTTATATATAGGCTCTGATGCTTAAAATTGTCTTATATTTTATGATTTGTGCTGATAGGTTTTCAAATTTTTCTGTTTGAGCACCTGTCTAAAATTTATTTTTAATGTGTGTTGTAAGATGCAATATAAATCTGATGCTTTGAATTAAGTCTTTAAAAATACACTTTACTTGCCAAGGCATAAATAAAAGTTTCGTTTATGAAAGAATATATCTTCTTTCTATAAATATTTTCCTAAAATATGTTTTGAATAATGATATATTGAGTGAAAAGGGGCATTGTTTCATTAAAACTCTAATGTTAAAATTGAATTTGTATTCATATTTATACTTTATGCATTTGAGGTGTGAAATTTTTTAAAAATAAAGTAACAAGTGTTTTTTAAAATATAAAATATATTTTTTGGTGTTAATGAAAAGTTTTACTGCAATTTTAGTAATAATTGATTTGGTGTCCTTTCTTCAGAAGCAAATTATTTTATTAAAATTGTAATTTGTGTCAAAAAAAGGTAGACTACTTCTACTTTTAACAGAATAATTTTGATGGAAAAAGACTGTCATTTTACTTTTTCATGTATACTGAGTCCTTATGTTTTTGAAATTAATTCCTATATTTGAACAGTACAAAGCATTAACATTTGCTTCATACTTGCATATACTTTGCTTATTTAGTTTTGTTTTAATTAAAAAATATAAAATTATTAAATTAAATGTCTAAATGTTTCTTTGAAAAGGCTAAAAATATTTCAGCAAGACTTACCGATTAGTTGAATAAACAATATAGATGATACTCATCATTTAAATAATTTATAATTTTATTAATTTAAAAGTACAAAAGATTTATTTATTGTAATTTAAGATTGGTAGCTCCATGAAAAGCGTTGGAGAAGTAATGGCAATCGGACGGAAATTTGAAGAAGCTTTTCAAAAAGCATTACGCATGGTGGATGAAAATGTTATTGGTTTTGATCCTTATGTTAAAGAAGTGAATGACGAAGTAAGATGATAATGATTTTATAATTTTTCTTTTGTCTTTATGATGTATATGTTTAATTTGATTTTTTTTTTTCAATTTTCAGAAAGTCCTCCACAAAGACATTTTCTTCCCTTATACAGATAGCCCTCATGTGCTTTGCCATATTTAAATAATCTAACCTCATAGTAATTTTTTTAATCCTTTAAAAGAAGTACTATTTTCAGCTACATATAAATTATCAAATATGTTTCCATTTCACTGACTTTTAAAGTAATTTTTTTAATTTGGAGAGAAGGCCGTTAGTAATTCAGTAGTTAAAATATGTGCCCAATTTATCAGTACTCTAATTTTTCATATAAACAGCTGTGGACATAATTAAGATGTCTTGATTTGCTTTGTAAGTGATAAAATGGCCTGAAATTTTGAGAATAGAATAATATATAACTAGTTTAGCAGAATGTCTTAAATGTAAACTGTTATCAGTAGAAGAAGAAAAGTGTATCCATTACTTACTTTACACCAATGATTTACATGTTAATATAGTACATTAGCTGTTGTAAATATTTTTATATGTTTTTAATCCCTTTATTAAGTGCATTACATTCTTTTGGGCCACAAAACTTGATCTAAATGAAATAAATGAATTTATGTCTATAAGTTTGATTTGCTCTAAAATAGTTATGCAACTAAATAAAATTCTGAAATGATTTGCTCTAAAATAGTTATGCAACTTGATAAAATTCTTTGAAATTTCCATCAACTGTAGTACAATTGCATATATACATTTTTAACTTTTTCAAACTTGCATTATTGCATTTTGTTTAAAAAATAAGCAATCCTTGTTCAAAAGGTCTTTATCCTGAAAAAGTGCTAGTCCTAAAATTTTCATCATTTATTTTTCAAACAATATGTAACGTAAATCTGAATTGATAAATCCTATAAAACTGTCGAATGCTTATTTATTATTAGTTTGCCATTTTCATTTACATTTCTTTATGTAGAAATGACACAACTCCTAAAGCATGTACAACAAAAATTAGTCTTCATCTGAAGAAGCCAAGTCTTTTTTTCTTTTTTTAGTATGTAAGGGAAAGTATATACATATGTCTATGTTCTTGTTATAAAAGAAATGAAATATGGTTTGCAAAATTTCAAAAACTTTGGAAATAATTTGTTCAAAAGTCACCAGAAAGAAAGCATGGAAAAATTATGTCAAGTAAAATAAAATGATTACATAAAATTTAGTTACAATGTTTAAAAAAAAAAAAAAAAAAACCCTGTTTATTGAAAGAAGTTTTGTTTACTTAAATTACCCTTGTATGAATAATTTATTTAGTGAAAAAAAGATTAAGTAATAAATAATTTTCTAAATGAGAAAACATTTCATGATTTACAGCAAAAAATATGATTTTATCTAACATGCAATTTATGCATTTAAAGGAAATTTTCATTTACTACCAAAAAGTCTCCTTTAATTAACCTTTTGATGGTTCTCGGTGAGCTCAGCTTATATTCAATTACACTTCACGGGGAGCTTAAACAAACACAGCTTGCATTACATATATGACTTACAGGTATCACCTATATTTAGGAAGAAAAATTGCCTAATCTTGCAACCACTGAAAGGTTAATGTGATAAGTGAAGATCTTTTGGTTATTATATGATTATTTAGTACTATTGACTAAATGTTAAATTTATGCATAATTTTTATCTGTGATTTATGATCACTTTTCATTGATGATGTAATATTATATTCATGTGTGATGATTTTGTTATGTTTTATTTAAAGCCTTTTTTTATTGCAGTTATAACTTTATTCCATTTTCATGAACAAATTTTTTTTCAGGAACTAGAACATCCCACTGACAAACGTATGTTTGTAGTAGCTGCAGCATTAAAAAACAATTATTCTGTGCAAAGACTTCATGAACTCACAGATATTGACTCATGGTTCTTAAATAAATTGAAAAATATTATAGATTTTCAAATATACTTGGAAAGTCTTAGGTCACAGGTAAATTTTTATTAGCATAATGTAGCTTTATCTCTAAATTTTATGTGTTCAAGATTTATTTTACCTGATAAGTGAAGATGAATTAATGTTTAACAATGGTTTTTAATAACAATTAACAATGATTAATTAATGTTTAATATGTTGACATTAATTAGTATTCTTTAAAACGTAGAATCAGTATTTTTTAAGAAAGTTTTTCTTTTCCTATTTTCCTTTCCTATTTTCCTATTTTCCTTTTTAAGTCTCTCTCTCTCTTTTTTTTCTGTTTTCTTATTTTTACATGCTCTTTAAAAATCTAAATTTCCATCTTTCTTTAATACTTATTTTTGGAATATATTGTTATATTTCTTTTTGAATATTAAGTGTGGCACATCTATGTTAGCTATTATACATAATTATGTAGCTATTATATGATATCATAAATAAAATAGTTAATTAATTTTATATAGTTTGAAGGTATATTGGTTGTTAATTTTTATCATATAAATCAATGAATTTGGACTTAACCCAAATAAACTTTTAATTTAATATTTAAACATACATTATTCTGCATAATACAGTCAAAAGTCGTTAATTCGGACACCCATAATCCGGACCTCAAAGCTAAAAACTTTCTGCGCATGCGGCGCGTTGACACATGTGTATAGGCGTTTACGCGTGCGTGTAAGTTTTTTTCACGACTGCGCATATGCGTGTGCGCAAGTGCAGAATTCGTTTTCGCGTTCGCGTTTTATGTGTAACGGACGGTATAAGCTAAAATTATCTAATTATCTATTTCAGTTAATATTGATGATTGTATTGTTCCTTAATTTTCGAACTGGATCCGGCTTATTTTTTGCAGACTGTAAGAGCAATACTATAAAAGTAAACTTGAACTTTTAATTATGTCAAATAGAATTTCCGATTCTGAAGCTCCCAAAGGATCATACAAAACGAAAGTATGTTTCGATGTCCATCAAACAAAAAATGGAATTGCTGCAAAAAATGGATAAGACATGAAGAGTGACAAAGAGGTTAGTGAAAACGAAAAATTTCGATTGACAAGTTAGTCGGTATTCTCGGCCCAACATTAACGGGACTTCCAACAGCGGAACTTTGTAACTGAACAAGAAATTGTCTGTTTATAGAATTAAAGAGAAAATATTATCACATAAATGAAGCAATAAAAACAACTTACATGAAAGAAATGTTTAATAAAGTAAATAAATAAATATTAAGCTTTTTTTTTTTTTGTAAATTTTGATACCCTTTAGATCATAATTGTTCTTTATTTCGTAAATTACGGTTTCATATTTTTAATTTTAGAATTTCTGCATGCCATCTTACGAGATTTAAACTGATTATTTTGCATGTATTTTCTTTGTATGTGTAATTAATTTACATACATATGAGAGTCTTTGAAGACTGAGCTTAGATCGTATCTTTACAGAGTTAAAAAATTATGTAACTTAATGTAGTGCTGTCTTATATGTGGGTAAAATATTTCAAAATTGTAGTAGATATAAGGGGGGGGAACTGCACAGATTTCAGTTTTGTGTATAAATGAAAAATAATCAAATTTAGACTAAATAAAAGGAAAAATAAATAAAAATTTATTTAAAAAAATAAGGAAATAAGGAAATTAATAATAGCAATTAATTTCTTTCTCACTTTTTTATTAAAGAAGTAATAAAGGAACATACATTAACCCTCTCAGCGTTATGGCCAGAAAATTCCGTATAGAAGGTTGCCTTCTATATTCATTGAACATGAAAATTTCTGCTAGCTTTTAATGTATATGGTTTCAGTTTGGATGTATATCGGAAGAAAAGGAATCAAAGTACAAAAGGAAAGAGTTATTTTTTTAATTAAAATCAAGAAAATATCACTTATTCATGACATTTTGACGAACTTTGAAATTTCAGGGCTAAACCCGTAACGCTCGGAGGGTTAATTATAACTACATACCAAATCTAAATAAAAACAATTAAAATCACACAAAAATTTTTATGACATTTTGCAAACGTTTGTTTATAGTAATGTATTTTAAAAAAGTTAGGATGTTCTAATTTTGGCTCCCCTCTCATCAAATTGCACAAAGTATTTACTTCCTGAAAATTCATATAGTTTTTTCTAAATTAATTTTTCACTAATGCTAGCAGGAAAATCATGAGTTTATTTAGAACTTAACTATTTTGATATGACAAAAAAGTACTATATTGAATTTTAGTTATAATAAGAGTTGAAGTCCATTATTTTACTGATTAAGATGCAGCAGTATTTGCCAGATGTTATTGTTGAATTGAGATGTAGTCTGAAATAGTAATTTCAACTTTAATATTACATTCAAGATTTATTGTTGCTTAGAAATATAATCATGGTTATTTGAACAAAGCCTTTCATTACGAACAATTTCTTTTCATTTTTCTGGACCAAAAAGTGTTGAGTTACAATCTTTGGTGTAGTTTGCAGTATAAAGTTCCTATCTTTGATTTACACGATACACATATTACAACATTACATAAGGTGAAAGTTTTGAAAGAAATGAGTGGGTCGGATACCAAAAACCAGTGGTTGAAAAGTTTAGACTACCATTATGTTAAGAGTAAACCTCATCACAATTTTGATGGAGAATATTTTGGGATATGGATCTGAGAGCTTCTCCTACTGACAAACCTCATGAGGACTTTAGGCTTACCATAATTTTAAATATGCCCATGTTGCATACATACTATACACTAAGCCTTTTGTGAAATTTGAAGCCAGACCCAAAAATATGGCAGTCAGCATTGATATCTACTGTAGCAACCAACGATGCATAAAGTCATTGCATTCTTTTTCATATATATGAAAGCAGTGGATTCTGATCCATGAAGTTGCTCAGGGTTGGCACTTGGTGTTTTCAAATTTTGCTAAAAGATTACTGCTACCTGGTGCAGTTACACTGTTCCATTGACTTCGAAGATGAAAGAATAATAAAAAACAACTGCTTTTCCAGCACACTGTGGTTTCACTTGCAGTTTTAAAAAATAAGAGAAATGTATAAGTATTTTTCCATCAACACATGAATTTTGTATTTCTGTTACCATCTTTTAATATATTTCATAAACAGTGACGTATTTGTCCAAACCATTTATGTATATTTCAGACTATGATCTGGAACATAAACCTAGACATTTATGAGCTACTGTATTTCATCATTTAGTGGCCTGTTCTCAAATGATGTGCATTTTGTAACTAATAAATTTGTTTTCTTTATTTTCCAAAAATGTATTTGAGCTGCAATGAATTGCATGTAGCTGTAACATAAGGTAAAAATAGATATCACCACATGATCAATGTGCTTGTTTCCTTTTTGAATTTCATTTTGACTGAACATTAATTAAGAAGATAATTTAATCATTTAAAAATTAACATTTTTTTTTAACATGTAAAACATTAAAAAATGTCTAATATTTTTTCTTTGAAGTTTTTATAAAACTTATTTTATTTTATTTTTTTTTTGCAGATTAAAGCTAATGATATAACAGTTATTACCAGTGATGTTATGTTGAAAGCTAAACAGATTGGTTTCTCTGATAAACACATAGCTGCTTGCGTTAAAAGGTATGCAAGGTGCATTTATCTGTCAGCAGTACTTTTTTTTTTCAAGTATTGCATGTCTAAATCTTGCTCACTTGCTTTTGTCTAGGAAAAATCAATCTTTTTATCATAATTATGCAAGAGGGATTTGCTTCTTGAATTAATAGCAATTCTTCTTTTTAAAAAAGGAACACTGACATTATTTAATATTTTTATGATATAAAGTTTCACTGCTGTAAACTATGCTTTGTTATATGGAACTTAAAAATAATACATTAACATAGTGATTACCAAATTAGATCTGCTATTAAATTGTTGCTTAGTTATTTTTCAGGTCATGTTGTTTAAATGTTTTCATTATTCTTTTCCTTTAGCTCAGAATATGTTATCAGGAAACACAGAGAAAGTGTTCTGGGAATTAAGCCTATGGTAAAGCAGATTGATACAGTAGCTGCAGAATGGCCAGCTACAATGAATTACCTGTATCTAACATATAATGGAATATCCCATGATATTGAATTTCCTGGAGGAGCTGCAATGGTCTTAGGATCAGGAGTTTATAGGATTGGATGTTCTGTAGAATTTGATTGGTGTGCTGTTAATTGCGTGGAAGAACTTCGGAAAGTAATAATTTTTCCATTTGTATTACTCATTTAAAAAAAAATATTATTTATTTATATTTTTAAATTATTTTTGAATTTTTACTCAATCTTCATGTATATATTGTAAAATGTTTATTTCATAGTTTTCTTGGATACCTGTAGAATCTGAAAATTTTTCAGTTAAATCAAAAGTCAACATTGTTAATCTACAATGTTGAATTTTTAAATTGGGACTGGAAAATTCCCTGAAATTAAATTAAAAATAAGTATAAATGAAATTAATTAAAATTAAATGCACTTGAAATTAAAAATAAATTTGTAATAAGTAAGTCCTTTTAAGGAGAAATTCTTTAAATAAATGCACAATATATTTTTTAAATGCTTTTATTATGGTCTGTCAGCATTCAGCTAATTTAGCTTTGCATTTGAGATGTCAAAAGTTATATCAAACTTAATAAAGAAATAATATATGACAGATTTTTAAATTAGGAGCTTTTTATAAAATACTAAGAGCAGTTATTTGGAGAAATATTTTCTTTTGTCTTGTAATAGCACTACTGGAAATACTGATTAACAAGATTTTAATATGAGACTGTGTTATATGTATATGAAGTGTTTTGGGTGAGTCTTTCTTTATACCTGTTTTCTGAAAATTTTATATTTTCCCAAGATCCTGTATCTAAAAAAAATCTAGTTGTAGAGAAGCTGAGAAAACTTGTTGTTTGAACTTGAATAGTGTCTTTAATTGAAGAAATGTATTACTTACAATTGTCTTTTGAAATGCAATACCAGAACTACATACTGGGTATTTGACCAGCTGATATTAGCTACAATACTTTCAATAAACTTTCATTTGATGATTGCAGGATATGTGAACGTTTTTCTGTCATATTAGTTAGTCTATTTTTAAATAGAACTTATATTGCTAATGTACATTCTAGTATAAAGTGACGACATTTTATTGAGACAAAGCGGGACAAGTGGAAGGAAATGAGAATTGTAATTTAGTTATGAAAGCAAACCAATAATTAAAAAAATATATTTTTATGTATACATTCATATATTTGTCTATAAATATACAAAAATATATTTATTATTAAATATTGGTAACTATAAAAATATTTGTAAAAACTATAATTTGAATATTATGTTTTTTAATTAATTTAAAATTTTATTAAAAATTATGATTTTCTTTCACAGTCATATTTTTTATCCGAGTGAATACTTTGCAATAGATTCGGATCATTTATTAAAATGTTGTAAATTTCTCTCGTGAATTGGTCAAATTATATTTTATGCTTAATGCAGATTTTAAAGTTTTAATGTTCAACTGCATTTATTCAATAGTCCATATAAAATATTATATTAACTGTCAAGAATTGCAAGATATCTTAGTTCAAAAAACACTAATTCGAATCACACATAACATCAAAATACATGAACACTACAAAATCAGGTTTCTAAACTGCCAAGTTTATTAAAGTATAACACACATTCAACTGGCGGATGCCAGATCCAAGAACTAGAAGTATATATACATCATGAAAGATTTATGCCCTCTTTGCCGATTAAAATATATTTCCACATAAAATTTTGATACTTACGTATTATCGCAACCAGGTTGGCACGATTTGTAAGTTTGAGTAAAAAAGTATGAATAGAAAGAAAATGTATATTTATTAATTACAGATAATTTTTAATACAGTTTTTTATATTATTTTGTTTTAAAATATAAAATAGCAATTTAACCCTTCCAGTTTCGAATTTGAATAAGTTGCAGAATTATTTTTCGGGGGAAATCTTTTGGCTATTGCTTTTAGCACTGATTGAAAACCGTATTCGCCATAACCATGTACACGTCGACTTATTTTTACTTAAAAAAACATCCCAGAATTGCACAAAAATGGCATTGCGCACACTCTTGACTTTATCCATGTACACTGCTATTTTCTTATAAATTGCAAAAATTTGCACGAAAATGCAGGAAAATTTTGTGAATCTCCACATGCTCTTTTTACAAAACTACCTATAACACGTAGGGTTGCCGTAAGTAGGGTCGCCAAATTTGGCAATTTATGCGAATTTTGGTCTGGTTGCATTAATACGTAAGTACCAAAATTTCTTACAGTCCATCTTTTATTGATACTAGTAAAAACATGTTCTGTTGCTGCATTTGTTCCAGGAAGGGAGAGCGCGTGTTCTACACTTTTCAAAATATTTTCATAAGGAATATTATTCTGTTTAAAATGAAGGAATAACTCTTTCCATTTTTTGTGTCTTTCCACATTTGCAGACAACTAACATTTAATTTTTTCTTCAGTAACATATCTTTTTATGAATGAAACCTCATCAAAAAGATCATTTTCGCAAATATTATTTTTCAGAAAATGGTTACTAATATATTAAAATGATTTTTCCACATATTCCCATAAAATCTCCATTTTTAATGTCACCCAATGAAAATTTTTAATATCCTCGAATTGAATTGTACGTTCTTCAAGATATTCCAAGTAGTTATTATAAAAATTTTTGACTTCTTTCAGAAAATCAGGTCGTTTAATGGCACCTTGTTCTTCCAACCTAGTGATGTCCTTTCGAATAACTAAAGGAATGTAATTGTTATCAATTCTTTCTCGCAACTTTGCTTTTAAATTATTGATTTCATTTGATACTTCTGTAACTGAAATTTTGTCCCCTTCAATAATTTTCACAGCATTGTGAAATAATGTAGCTTGGTTGTTGATGAACTGAAGCCTAATTTGTGATGTGTCATTTTCAAAAAAGAGCTGCAATATTCTTGTACATTTATCTTTTGATAAAAAGTATGATTTTTAATGGTTTGTATATTTTAAAAATTTTTCTACAGCTGATAAAAGAGCTAGCTATCGTGTTTTGCTGTAACCAATAGTTCTTTTATATTCAATTTCTGCACTTTCACAAAAATCCTTCAAACTTTCAACACACACAGTATATATATAAAAGTATGAATAAATTTTTGCAATAATATTTTGAAGATCCACTGGAAGTCAGATGCTGTTTGAATAGTACTGTGTAGAATGTGCGCTGTACAACCTACTTCAATAATTTTTTGTTCAAATGTTCTTTAAGTTTCGTAAAAACGTTATAGATGCCTCCTCTTTTATAAAATAAAACTTATTGAATCAAAAATTATTTATGAATTTTCACATGGCAATGAAACAATATCTAATATTCTAATTTTAATTCCTGTTTCTGGATTAAAAAGTCTAACAATTGTGAGAAATAATTATAAATTTTTGTGCTTTTAGCCATCATAATAATCCATATGATACACAAGAAAATTATTTCTTGTGTATCATATGGATGTAAATGTACATTTATCTAATTCTTTCTGCAATTGTGAAAACGAATATAGTGAAAAAACGTTACAAATAATTGCTTCGACTTTTGTCCTTGCACATAAAAATTTTTTGTCGAAAAATGTTTTGATCATTTGCAACGTACAATCAATTGATCTGAAACTTTGATTGTGGTTTATGGTGGGGAAAGCAAATAGCCCTTCAGCTAATGCTAGCTGTTCCTCCATAAAAAATACTTATTCCTTAATGAAATGTAATGAAAATGATAGAACACCACCGAGTAAATCTAACTCATTACATTGCCTAATTTAGTTTACTCTGCATCCATTTTATGTGTTTATTTATGTATTTTTTATTTCTTTATACTTTCTATAATAATTATTTCTATAATTATATTTTAGCAATAATTTATTTTCCGCATTTTGCGGTTTTACAGCTGAGGATGGTGGTTTGGTAAAACCATCAAAACTAGTCCTGTGAAAATTTTGAAAATATAATGCTGATTTTTGTTGTTTGACTTCTGAATTAGTATTTGTTCAGCATGTTATTATGTTTTAATAATAGGAAATATATTTTTACAGTGCATTTTAAATAAGAAATGCAGATGTTTTCTAAAAAGCGGGACATTTTTAAAAATCGGCGGGACGCGGAATAGTCCTCCAAAAAGTCTACTAGTGTTTGATTGTACTCTTTTGCATTTAAATGTTCTTTGAAAACTCCATAGCTACCAGACAAATCTAGTAGTAGTTTAATGCATCCAACCAGTGAGTAATTCTTTTAAAACAAAAATAATGGAGTATATTGGCAATTTCCACACTTGACGCTTCATGATATGGTTAACCATTTTAGGATTATCCCAAATTAAAATATTCCACTGTTACTTAAATTATGTCTGATGGTACCTTTTAGTATTCAAATCAAAGTTGGATAAAATCATGCTTTATGCATTTGATTGTTTGCATTTTGGAAACTTTAAATGAACAGAAGCCAGTAGAAAATAGTATCCTATTTATTAACAGTGAATGATGTAGTCAGCATTACTGGTAGTTTATGAAAATTGAAGTAAATGGTGCTAGAAATTCTTAAGAATTACCAGAAAATAAGATTTTTCATTTCTGTTTCCCAAAAATTAAATTCATTAGGAATTTGGAAACCCTCTGTATATGTCACATTTATAATGCATGCTTATCGAAATTTTATCAAGTATGCTTTCAAAGAAATGCTTGTGAGAGAAAATTTCTGAGCATTACTTGTTTTGCTTTTGAATTCAATTCATGGCATTTATTATGACTTTTATTATGTAATCTAAATATAAAATCAGACTAAAATGTATCTCACATTAAACTATTAAAATAATGTTGCATATCTGGCATGTTTTAATTTGTAATTTGCCTTCACAATAGGCCCATCCAGCTTTCACAAACTGAATTTGATCTTTTCGCTGCTGACAGTAGGTCTGGATCCCACTTATTCAGTCATATCAGCATAGTTGCACTCTGCTGTCTTATTTATTCAGGTTCTAAAGCAAGTGCCATTAAATTTCTTTTTTGGAAAGTGAAGTCAGAGGGAAGTCAAAGCCATGTTCAAATATCAGGAAGGCTGAAAAAAGAACAGAATATTATTTACTTTTTTTTTTTTTTTTGGTCAGGAAGCAGTTGATTGGGTATTCAAAATGAACTTGGGACATCTGCATGCTGTTGCCATTTGTATAATGCTAACCACAGTTGTCGTATCTTGAGTTGCATCCTATAGTACAGGAAAAATGTCAAGATGGTATAATTTTATATGCATCGCTTCTGATTCATATTGTGATGACAAATACTAGGTAGTATGGAAAGACAGTCAAAGTTAATTTGTTTTTGTTGCTCATCTGTCATGTTTTTCTGAAGCTTGATGTTATGCTCTTGCAAGCACCTGCTGAATCTTGATAATGGTTTTTGCTTGCTTGTATCACCAAGCTTCTGGAAAAATTCAATGCAGTATGTTACCAAGATTCTGGAAAAATTCAATGCAATATTTTACCAAGGTTCTGGAAAAACTTGATGCAATATTGTTGCACTAGACATTGACATTTTGCCATAAGTAGTAATTCAGTAAATGAAAAGTATGAAACAGAACATACCTGCTGTCTTACAAACCTCTGAAATCACAGAACTCAGTGTGCATAAGCATGAGGAAGCACCCAGTGCTGATGATGTATTGACAACATATGATCATTACTTCCCCGCCTGACTAAAATAAGTTTGCATCTTTCAGATAGGCTTTGTACGAGTTACTTTTCATAGATTAACTTCATATTTTACATCTTTGGAAAATTATTTCTTGTGTATTTTTCTATAATAATCTAGTAAAAATGCCATCCTGATTTTAGTAGTAACTTGCTTGTTCCTTTCAAGCTTAGCATGAGGATTTTTTTATGTTTGATGCTTATTACAATTTTTCAGGTTAAATTTTTTAAAAAGTTGTTCTTAGTTTTTGTCCTCTTTATTATAGATGAACAAGCAAACAATTATGGTAAACTACAATCCTGAGACTGTTAGTACAGATTATGATAAATGTGACAGACTTTATTTTGATGAAATATCTTTTGAGGTAAGCATTTTTAAGTTTTATGTATTCATTTCAATTAAAAATTTGGGTTGTAATTAAAACTTCACATTATTTTATACTTCATTTTAGCACTATATATTATTTGCACATAGATATGTTCAATTTGTGTATGCATTTTTTTGTGTATGTATTTGTGTATGTTTGTGTATGTATGTGCATATGAGAGCAATTGTTTGTATGTAAATTTGTAGAATTTAAAACATGTATAAAAATTTCTATGTTTAAAAATAACTATAATGTCCCTCTGACTTAGCTTTCCAAAAAAGAAATTTAATGACACTTACTTTATAAGTTATATAGTTTTTTTTTATTTTTTATTTATCCTTAATAGTAAATCCATATTGCATTTAAACATAAAATAGTTACATTTAGCTTGCTGCTAGACAATGGCGTACCCAGGGTGTGTGTGCAAAGGAACATATGCATCCCTCAACATTTTTTTCTAAGAATTTGTATCTAAAATTTATACAATCTGAAGGTGGCATTGTTTTGTTAATTTGCTTAGAGGAGATCTTTGACTGAAATGTGAATCAGTTAAAGGAGATATTTTTTTTGGGGGGGGAGGAGGGGTTACCTTATTCTCTAGTTTCTCTCTCATTGAAGGTGATATATTTTGCCTATTTTGTTGGGAGATGGTTGAATATGAGTAAAGAAATAATGAATCACATTTGTTGAAAGTGCGTTGCAGGAAGTGATGGGGCTGAGTCAATTAAATGATCTAAATTTAAAGTATATTAAAGTACTATGGAAAGCCAGCTAAAACCCTACTGCTAATTCCCGAGTTGAACATCAAACCCCACATGAGATTTCGCATTTGTCAAAATAGCCCTTCAAAACAAAAAATTGCATCAAGAGCAAAATTATCTGCAGCAGAAGTTTTAGACTTCTGCAGTAAATTTCCCCCCCTAATATTTACAAACATTTTAAATTCTAATAGCATTGCCAGTTACCATGGTACTATGGTATGATAATTTTCTGTGCTATAATCTAAATAATCATGTATGAAGCATTGATACGTGAAATAGGCTTAAATTGATTATGCTTATTGTATACATTTAAAAACATAATTAGTAAAAGAAGAAGTTTTGCAACAACAGAAACAATAACAAAACCTCAGAATGAACTGCTTTCAGAGCTATCTTTGATCTGATAAAGTAATGTAAGTATTTTTACATTGCTGACTAGCATTTTATGAAACTTTTATCTTTAATAACAAAATAATAGAAATGCAACTGAATGAATGTCATGTATTCTAATTAAATAACCTAATATAACTGTAGATGAGTGATTTTTAGATTAAATTGAATTTTTAAATGGCAAAATTATAGATAAGAACATTTACTCAAAGGTATTTTTAATATTATGATAGTAATAGTGCTTCCTAAAATTAAATTCTACGTAGACATCATCACATATAATAATTTGTTTATTGAAAGGGGAAAATAATGTGATCTAATCATATTTTATATATGTTTTCAGACTGTCATGGATATTTATAATATAGAAAATCCTGAAGGTATTATCCTTAGCATGGGTGGTCAGTTGCCAAATAACATTGCGATGGATTTATGGTTACATAAGGTACTAATTGATTTTTATTTCAAGTGTTTGTTTTATGCATGTAATTAATTTTGAAGAGTCTCATGTCTTTTTTTTTTTTTACATATTTATTAGAACTCAGTTTTATTTTTAGGCCAAGATACTAGGCACTTCTCCAGAATCTATAGACAGTGCAGAAAATAGATTCAAATTTTCAAGGATGTTGGACAATATTGGTATTTCTCAGCCTCAGTGGAAAGAATTAACAACTTTAGAGGTTTCCTTTTAATATTTGATAATTTTTTATGCCATCTAGGCCTTTTTTCAATCACCAAGAACAGCTTATTACTAATATCTTGTAAAAATTTAATTTTTTCTATAGGAATGAAATTCTGAATAATTAATATATATTTTTCTTCATTTTCTTTTCTCCCTCCTCCAATGAAAAGTTGAATTTTTCTTGCAGACTGCTAAAGAATTTTGTACCCAAGTTGGATATCCTTGTCTTGTACGTCCATCCTATGTTCTAAGTGGAGCTGCAATGAATGTTGCCTATTCCCATCATGATCTGGAAACCTATTTAACTGAAGCTACTGCTGTTGGAACTGTTGTTGTTATATCAAAATATGTGACAGATGCAAAAGTATGAAACTTTTAACAATATATTTATTACTTTTTAATTTAAGATTTTTAATGAAAATACGTTTTCTAATCCTAGTGCTGATTTATAAATACCACAGAACTTCTCTGAATGTTATCGTCCAAGTTCAGTTATAGTTAGAGTTGTATTACTTATTTAGTTTTATATTTTCTTCCAGTGCCAGTTAGTGAAAAAATATAGCTTTTTGATTAGAAAATTTTCATGTATTTTTGCTATATTCCAAGTAAGGAACATCCACATATAGATAGCTCTTGCATATCTCTCTCCAAATTGCTGGCTATTTAAAATAATAATTAAAAAAAAAAAAAAAAAAAAAAAACTTCCTTAAATATTTTAAACCATGTGAGATTATAGCATCTATTTTTTAAGTTGAAATAAAAGTTTTGGCAAAATTAATAGTGATAAGAAAAGTTTTCTGCAAAGTTAAAAGATCTTTTGTAATAAATATATGGGCATATGAATGTTTTAAGAACTGCATTTTATTTTAAAAGTATGAGGATGAACTGTCTTTCTTCTTTGAAAAATTTTTTACTTTTGTTCTAAATGATAATATAAATTTATTTGAAGAAGTTATATGCTGATATTATTATGATGCAGTTTTATTAAGGACATTTACTAAACACATAAACTAAAAAAATAACTTTTAATTATAGGATAACTAGTTCATTTTATGACTGTAATACCTACTTTACAGTTAAATGTAGCACATGCAGAACAAATATGTGTATGACTAATTTGTGATGTTTATCAAAGGGAACAAAATTGTAAGACAACACATAATTTCCCTCTCTTTATGTGATTACTGTAATTTCATCTCCTTATTTATAAATTTTATTCTTTTTAGGTAATGATATATTTGTTTGTATTCAAATTATTTTTTTTTTAAACTTTATGTATTTATAAAATTGTCATTGGTTTATTTCATAGGAAATTGATGTTGATGCTGTTGCTGATAATGGGCAACTGATTTGTATGGCTGTTTCAGAGCATGTTGAAAATGCTGGTGTCCATTCAGGGGATGCCACTTTGGTAACACCTCCTCAAGATCTCAATGAAGAGACATTGGAGAAAATTCGATGTATCTGTTATGCAATTGGGAGAGCTTTAGAAGCTAATGGCCCTTATAACATACAACTGATTGCAAAGGTAATTCTTAATTATTTAAAATTATCTTAAAGTTCTTTTCAGAATTGGTTTTAAATATCTTATTATTATCTTATAATTGAAAAATGAAGTCTGCCGGCAATCACCAATGCTTGAAAACTTGGCGTATTGTTCCTGTATTGCCTTAAACTGTTAGCACTGTTATTCAACTTTTCTTGATATTTACAGGACAGGCATTTATTAGCAAGGTTATTTATTCAGCTGGTCTTGATATAAAATAGAGCATTCAAAAATGCACATTGATATATGAAAGCTCTTGATGTTATCTTTTGTGTTGATTCCCACTGCTGCTTAGAGCGTTGCAGTGGTTTTGCTTGTATGTGGAAGCTCCGAGTGCGATGAATGTTGAAAGCTTCCAAGCTTCCATCATTATATTGGCCCAACATCTAATTGATAGTATAGAGTACATATATAATTTGTTTTTAGTCCATATATCTGTACTTTGACGAACCATAATTAAATTATTAAGGTTTTAATGCCCAAGACTTTGACATACCTCACCTTTCAACAGGATAAAGCTAGACTGCATGTTTTAGTGCTGTTATAAATTTTTTTCAGCGCACCATGTGTTTGCCTCCTGCGTTGGCCAGCATGTTCTTCTGATCTCTGATGAACTGAAAACATCTTGTCAAGTTACAGAGTGACTAACATGACAACATTCACCAACTTATATGAGCTCTGGCATATAACTCAACTGTAGTACTTATAACTACCATCCAAAGTTTGTGTGACCCCCATGTTCAACCTTTATTATTGTCAGACGTACATGCTTGGAGGGCTAATTTTTTCATATTCTGTACCTCAAAATTTCCTGAAATTTTAGTTATTCCATCTTTCTATTGTAGTGTATTTGTAACATAATTTTTTTTCTAACCATTTTTCTTGATGGTATAGCAAATTTAATGGCTAATAATGCCTTTTTTCAATCTAATAATTCTAATCAATGCAGAATGAAGTTACTTTGTGTATTTGTTTTGTGATTTTGTGTGTGTATTTGTCTGGACAGCTACTGTTCAAGGTTAACGTATTTTTAATTAATTAATTATTAAAGTCAATCTCTTTCATGATTTGTTCTAGGATAATCAATTAAAAGTCATTGAATGTAACCTTAGAGTATCACGGTCCTTTCCATTTGTGTCCAAAACTTTGAACTGTGATTTTGTTGCTCTTGCTACTCAAGTAATCATGGGTTTGAAGCCAGATCCTGTAGATATAATCAGCTGTGGACGTGTTGGAGTTAAGGTAATTTGCTAAGCAATGGATATTATATTTTTAATCGTTTAGTGAAAGAAAAAATATCTAATGCATTTCTGCACTTTTTTAATTTAAACTTTTTCGATGAATGTGAATGCAGGTTCCAATGGCATTTCAGTAGGCTATTAGTAATTTATGCCATATCAACTAACTGTCTTTGTGTTGAAACCCAAAACTCTTCAAAAAATGGCGATTTCAGAATTCTCTACATTTTTATCTTTCTAAAAATATCATTCTTTAACCTCTATGAAAATTAAAACTGTAAAAAATCTAGTTTTAATTTGTCATCGAATGCTTTGATAAATGAGGATTTTTACATAAGAACGTGTTTTTCTTCAAACGTGATTTTTTTATACTCAATGCACCTTTTCTCTGGAACTACTGCTCACAGGTGTCTAAATTTTTTATGACTTATTTATTAGGTTTCCTAATATTTACTGAAATGAGCTTTTTGTGATAAACTAAGGGGAAAATTAAAAAAAAAAAAAAAAAAATTGTGTGAGAAAACTGCTAAATTTTACTAAGCCTAACAAAATATTCTGTAAATTACTTTAAAATTAAAAATGTTTCAAAGGCTCATTTCAGTATAATCAAATAGTTATACTTTAATTAAACAAAAAATTTCAAGCGAATATTTATAGCAGATTTTGAGAAAAGGTACATCGAAAATAACCAATTTAACATTGTTGGTATAGGGGTTTCTGACACCTCTTTTAAAGGATAAAATGCCATTTTGGGTTTTTTTCCTTTGTATTGTAACTTTTAATTTCACCTCGAGACAGCGAGAGACTGTAGTGAAGGTAGTTTAGTTTTTTATATTTTTCATTATATTTTATTTTAACCTAAAAAGGAATTTAAAATTGTTATCGAACAAATAAGTCTCTGCCATTTTTTTTAATCAAAAACTGGGCATTTATTGTGAAAAAATAGTACATTATGTTCATCACTAGCCACTACTTTTTCCCATCTTTCTGGCAACATACGGGTACTGCGCCAGAAGAATGCTTCATAAAGGCTATCCACAAACCAACTCAATTTTTGGTATCTTCATATGATGTGAAGCATTACTGAGACAGGCCATGTATCATCAATCGAAGCAAGTAGATCAGCAGGAGCAATACAGCCAGAGGGGGGGAATCTTGTTTAAGTGTTTCTGAGTAGGTTTTACTGGTGCCACAACGCATGGATGAGCTTTATCATGCAGCAGAATAATTTTGTCATGTCTTGAGCAGTAGTGGGAGCATTTTCCCTTGAGTATTCAGCTCAATCTCATCAATTGTGAAGGTAGAGAGCCCCAGTAATAATCCATTTGAGCAATTCATAACACATGGCACCAAGTTGATCCTGCTATATACAGAACATGTTTTTTCCCATGAATATTCGTCTTGACTTTCGATGTTGAAGCATGGCCAGGCGGTCCCCATGATTTCTTCATCTTTGAGTTATCATAGTGGATCCATTTTTTTCAACACTTGTGACTGTATGATGCAAATAACCTTTTTGTTTACGCCTGGCAAACAACATTTCACATCTAAAAAATCCACATTCAATGTTTCTCAGCTTCAGTTCATATGGAACCAAGTTTTCTTGCTTTTAAATCGTTTCCAATGACTTTAAATAATGTGCAATTGTTTGTTGAATCAACAAACAATGTGAAAAATTTTATCCAATATTGCTTCCAATTCCACATCTTCCTACACTACAACCTTCCATTATGCTTTTTGTCCTTGACATCAGATTCACTGTTCTTAAACTTTTGAAACCACTCACACAACTTTTCTCACTTAATGCAGCCTCACCGTATGCTTATATAAGTAATTGATTCCCCTCAGCTGCAGATTTCGTCAAATTAAAGAATTAAATCAAAAGTTCCTGAAAATGTGCTCATTCAGCTCAAAACTCCACATTTTCGCACAAAGCATATATACGATGCTGATACAAAATCAGTGATATTTCAAAGTTTATGTTAGCAGATGTCCAATCTTATGATATGACATTTTACATCAGACCATTTTCATCATAACTTACTGGTGCTGCCCCTCTCTTTGTCAAACGGCGAAGATTTATTTGTACTCCCAATATCATTAATTTATTGAGTTAAAAAGACTCATTTTAAAATTGCATAGTGTCTTAAAAATTTTTAATTTGATTTTTTTTTATTTTGATTTTACTTTTTTATATTAATTAGTAGCATTTTTTCATATTTTTTGATATTTCAAAACTTAGTTAATTCTTTGAAAGCTTATTAAATAATTTAAAATTTAATTCCTACATTTAGAGTATTTTAATATATATTTTTAGAAACAAAATTACAATACAATCAGAAAGTAATTAATGATAATCTAGTATTTCATTAATATCTAAGTTTTGAAAAACTTAAATGCTGAAAACACTTGTGAAAACATTTCTGACATTACAATGTCATAATGAAATTAAGATGGTAGATTTAATGATAATTAAACAAAGTTTTGCTTCAAAATTTGGAAAATTGGTATTTTTAAAATTTTTATTTAAAATTATCTGCTTAAATTTTGTGAAAGTAATTTTGCTTTGATTAAAAAAAATATTTTAAAACTTTAAATTTTTTTTTTACATATTGAGACAATATTGCTGATTATTTATTTAAAAAATTGTGTATTGTAATGCCAAACATGTTTAAAATATATAACATATCTTTTTCATTGCATGCTCATTTAGTGTTTTGCCTCTGTCTAAAGCAACAATTTAAAATATTCAATGCTGTTGAATACATATGTGTATAATTTTCATCTTAGTGATATCACTTTGATGTTTGCATTAAAACTTCAGAACTTCTTGTGATTATTTAATGACAATACTTTCTTAAATTAACTTGATTACTCATGTAAATAAATTCTTTGAATTATAAAATAGTGTTTCTCATGTTATTATAAAAGATTCAAATATGTGCTTTTATTTAAAAAATTAATTTAAAAAATAAAACTAATTACTTTGCCAGAAAAACTGGAAAGGAGTCATTATTTGCAGAATGTTGTATAAAGTAAAAATTTGCCATTTTACTGTCTGAAAAAAAAGAGGGGGGGGGGAACCGAGCCCATATGCTGCTAAAAATGCATTCTGTTGTCCTGCAAAATTATAAATCTAAGGCTGAGTTTTGCTTAACTTAAAATTTCATATAAAATTTCTCTATGCATTTCTTCCATATTTTAGCAGATGTTTAGTTTTAGGGAAAATATATATAAATTCATGCAAAAAATGGTAATTGAGTGGTATTATAATATTAATATTGTTTATTTTTTTTCAGTTTTGGAATATGTTTGAATTATTTGTATTTTTAATCATTGTTTGTTTCTTTCAGGTACCACAATTTTCCTTTTCTCGTTTGGATGGTGCTGATGTGACTCTAGGTGTTGAAATGGCAAGTACAGGAGAAGTGGCTTGCTTTGGAGAGAATGTTTATGAAGCATATTTAAAAGCTTTGATTAGTACTGGCTTTCATATACCTCAGCGAGCAGTTCTTCTTTCCATAGGTAGCTATAAGGTAACAACACACAACAGTTTTAACATTTTTTTATTGGAAAATAAATTAAAATTTTTTGTGCCGTAAAATTTTGTATCTTGCTTTTATTTTCTGTATGTTACTTAACTTCATTTATGCACATTACAAAGTTTTAATACTAAATTCTTAATAAATCAAAGGTTTGAAGAAAATAAATTTTCATTCTATACAACTGTTACCATAGCTACATCTGTTACCTATTCTGAATGCTTCTGAAGAAGTTATTTGTTGGGGCACTGTTTCTTATTGTAGTTTTTGAATTTCTAAAATGCTGTTCAGAGTGTGCCCTGTAAAGGGAATGCTCCAAAAGAATGTAGCCACTCTGAGTATCAGGTTCATTAAGAACAGCTGCATTTATCTTTGCATCAAACTGATAGGAAACAGGTGACAAGGAAATTTTTCTCTCATTTGTTGAATCCTCAACAGATTATATCAATTCCATAAAAGCAAACTAAAAATTTACCATTTAAATTTCTTTCTGTAAGCACTTATTGACATCAAGTAAGTTGAGATAAGTTAGTAGCCATTTTTACTATTAAGTACTTAGTAACTTTGCTGGAATTAGTAGAAAAATAATAGTATTTATACTTTGTAGATACACTATGTGTTATATATTACTCATGATATGTTTTGTGTTTCCTATTTAAATTTTTTTTTTCTCTGAAGAAACTGAATTTTTCATTAATAGCACAAAGAAGAATTATTACCATATGTTAGAATACTGCAAAATATGTCATTGAAATTATATGGCAGCACTGGAACTGCAGATTATTATTCTATGAAAGGGATTTCGGTAAGTTTTTTTGACTTTACTTAAAATTCTTGTTAATAACTGGACGCTATTTTTTATGGTTTAAACATGAAGCTTAATTTTTAAGGAAATATGTTAATTTTTGTATAATAATCAGTGGTATTAGAATATCTTAAAGTTATCTTTTTGAGAATTTATATTGCTTCATTTTGATAATATTTTATCATGAATGGACCAGCCAACTTTTGAGCCTCTAATCCGCCTGAACCCAAGTAAGTCTTTTTAAATATGATAATATGGGTTTTAAGAAGTAAGAATATTAAAGCCAATTTTTTTAAATGTTATTGGAGTAGGGGGAAAAATCATTAAGTTTAAAATCTGTTAATTTATTTTTTAAAATTTGTATGTCTATGAAAGGAAGTGAACAGAAAGTATTATTTTGGTTTTGGTATGTATAAGTATGCATATAGAATTTTCTTTTGATAGATAGAACCTGTTGAGTGGCCTTATGACAATAAAGGGGAAAGTCGAGGTTATTTGAAAAGCATAACAGACTACCTTGCCCAAAAGGAATTTGATGTTGTTATTAATCTCCCAACACACAGTGGTGGTTATGCAAGGGCATCACATGGGTATCAGACTCGTAGGATGGCTTTGAATTATGCAATTCCTTTAATAACAGATGTAAAATGTGCTAAATTGCTTATTGAGGTAATGTAATTAATATCTATTTTCAATATATTTTAAATTTTGTGTGTCTTAATTATTTTTAAATTATATTATTAGTATTTAAAAAATATCCACAAATTTGTAATTTTTGTTAAAAATTAGTTTGAGCAAAAATAGTTAATTATAAAGGAATTAGGGAGTTTATAATTGTTTAAAGAAAATCTCACTGAACGTTTTTACTAGATTATCCATTATATTATAAATTTGTATTTTTTAAATACATCTTTCATATTGAACTAATTGCTGAAATTTTGTCTTCATGAAGCTTTTAATTTACATTTATATGTCTTTAGAAAATTTGTGTCTTCATAAAACAATAATGTAATTGTTTAATTCATTATTTATTTTCCGTGTAAATTGCTTTTTTTTTTTTTTTTTTTAGTCGCTGCATAGGATTAAAGGTGAACCATTAGTGAAACCTTATATAGATTGCCTTACAGCCAGTCGTATGGTTACTCTTCCTGGACTTATTGATATTCATGTGCATATGAGAGAACCTGGAGCTGCATATAAGGAAGATTTTGCTTCAGGTACTGCTGCTGCATTGGCAGGTGGTGTGACATTAGTGTGTGCTATGCCAAATACTAATCCCCCTGTTATTGATAAAGATTCCTTAACCCTTGCACTTCAGGTAAGGTGCATCATTTCAAAATAATTCTCAGACTTTGAAACTATATCATAAAATTTTCTTGATGATTTATTACAATTTTATTAGGACAGTTCTAAGCTAATGAGTAATGAAGTTTTCTTTATACATATATATTTTAAGAACAAGATTTTTCTATAAAACGTTTTTCTTGAAAACAATCTTCCTAAATGATCTTATAGTTTAAGAACTTCTTCCTTTTTTTTTTTTTTTTTTTTTTTTTTTTACAGTTAAAGCTCTTGGTTAACTCCTTAAGAAGCAGTGCTATTAGCAAATTTAAACTCATATCAAAGCTTACCAGAAAGGGTTGTTTAATAATATATAAGAATAGACATTCTGTAATCGAGCTTGTCAAAAGCTTGGAATAATTCATATGCTACATGAAACTTTGGATCACTTGCCATATGCTCTGAGTCTAGCAACTAATGTTTTTCATTTACTTTTGGATTCCCTGAAAGGAAATTTAATGGTAATGATGAGGAAAAGATTGAAGTTATGCATTTTTGTTCAAATATAAGCAGTTTAGTTTTAAACTAACCCTTTGTTTTACAACTCAGTATATTAAAATTTGTTTATTACATATTACTGCTTAGATACAAAACAGGTATAAAAAGTAAGGGTTGTTTTGGAATCATAGCAAAAAATAAACTTCTTTTATAGTTTTTAATAGTATCTTCAACTGCATTTTAAAATACGTTTCATTAAATCTTCATCCACTTTGAAGTTTAAGATTGTTTCCATATTAGAAGTGCACTTGAGCTTTATGATTCATAGTTATTTAGATATACAGCAAATGTTTTCTCTCATTTTTGGAATCATTAGAGAGATAAAACTTCTTTAACAGCCTTCAATGTTATTACTCATGACCAGTATATTAAGAATAAAATTCAAATAATTTATTTAAAATTCTTATTACTTTACAATTTAAAATTGCTTCCACTTCAAAAGCATATCTGAGGCAAACAGTTTCAAATGCTGATAAACTCAATTACATCTTTATATTAAACCAGAGATATTGTTAGTCCACAATTGTATATGTTATAACATATGATCATGGATATACCATATTACATATAACTTTTTTGTATGGAAGATTGGCTGATTATGTAGTGTTAAAACGATTATCAATTTTTAAAGTTTATTTTGTTGTGTATTTCATAATCACATAGTTCGTTTTATGTGATGTAGCTTAGTATTTTTAAACTTTTTAATTTTTAGAGATTATTTTTAGTATCTGTTTCATGCAGTATTTTTAATTTTCTGCAAAAGTAATTCATTTATCTGCATATTTAATATCTGCAGTATGATTGTAATATTAATGTCACAACATTTAGCTGCCATGGTTGGTTTTTGTGATCATGTTATTCCACATGAGAAATTATATGCATGAAGCATGTTTTATCAATTTGGTTAAGTTTTTAAGTGCTTTTAGAGATTATTTCGATGATATAATTATAATTTTTGCTTCTAAATTTATTTCTGCATTTATTTCAATAGTTCCCAAAACTGCTTTCATATTTAAATATTTCTTTGCTATACTTCTTTATATTGTTATAAAGAGAGGTAATTATAACTAGTGTAAACATACATTCTGCTGCTTATGTCATACTAAATATTTACTCTTCACTATATATACTAATTCTAATTAAATTTAGAAAGCTAAAGCTGGTGCCAGATGTGATTATGCATTATTTGCTGGAGCAACTTCTGATAATTTTGAAGCTTTGCAGCATATTTGGACAAAAATAATTGGCATAAAGATGTATTTAAATCCAACTTATGGTCCACTACAGCTGCATTCCTTGGAAGTCTGGAAGAAGGTGAGAAGTTATGAATACAAATTTAGCTTTTAAACTTTTAATTAATTAATTTTTTTTTTTTTTTTTTTTTTTTTTTTTTTTTTTTTTGCAGTGGATTCTTGTATTCATTCCAATTACTTTAAATATGCTTAAAAATTGATATTAAAGATGCCTTTTTTCTTTACAGCATTTTGAAAGTTGTCCTCCTGATTTACCTCTCTGTGTTCATGCTGAAGGTTCAACAGCTGCTAAAGCTATTTTGTTGTCAGTTTTTACTCACAGGCCTATCCATATTTGTCATGTAGCAACAAGAGATGAGGTAAGTTTTTTAAATTTAATATTTAAATAAAGAACATTTTCAATATTTTTGTTTTGAGACTTAGGAATTTTTCATTTGAAATGAGACACATATTTTTGCAGTATTATGCAACAGGAAACAGCTTTTCAAAAACCATGAAATTCTTGTTAAGTAAATTAAACAAAAGCAGAAGAGGAATTCAATCAAGCTCAGTGTCACTTCATCGGGGGGGGGGGGAAGGAACTTTGAAACTAATTGAAATCTCTCTTCTACAAAAATCCTTGCTTTTCTGTATCCAGACTTAGCCGATGAACCATTTCAATGTATTTAAATTATAAATGTAATAGTTCACTCGAAAATTCTGGCCCTTCCCCAAAGCAAAGAAAAAACAAAGTATATTCTAATTAGAAACATCTCAAAAAAAGAGAACTCCATCTCTTTAAAAGAATTGAAAACGAAAATGAAAAAGCAAAATACTTTAGTGAAATAATTTTTTTAAAATTTAAATGTTAACTTTTAAACAAACAATCCAGTGAATTAAGTAGTAGTTGATAAACTATTTAGAACCTACAAAATGAAATTAAGAACTCCCTTCACTCTCAATAGACTATAGTCAAAATTTGAGATAGGATACAGAAAGATACGTACATTTTTACCATTTTGGTATCATTAGCGAATTTGGTATCATTAGCGAGACTAAATAATAATAATAATAATAATAATAATAATAATAATAATAATAATAATAATAATAATAATAATAATAATAATAATAATAATAATAATAATAATAATAAAAAAGTAAAGGTAATTTTGAAAACAGTTATTTAATGTAAAACCTAATTAAATTTAGAATAATTTTACAAAAGAATTTTATTCTTTTAAAAGTATTGAAAACGAAAGTGAAAAAACAAAATATTATAGTGAACAATTTCTTAAATCAAAAATTTTACCTTTAAACTGAAAATCCAGTGAAGTAAGATGTAGTTGAAAAACTTATTTAAAACACATAAAAAGTAATCAAGAACTTCCATCACTCTCATTAGTCTCTAGTCTAAATATTTGAGGCTATATAGAATTGCTTGTACAGGTTTGCCATCTTGGCTTCATTGGCAAAACTAAATAACCTTGGCATTCATTTCTTATATATATATAGCTAAAAGCACCCAGCAGTATGAATGCTCATATATGGACAGTAAAATTCACTCCTATTTTCTGTTTATTTCTACAAGTGGCTGAATAAATAAAACTGCTGAACAGCATTGCTTTGATTTAGGATCAAATTCTGGTAAATAGACTGGTTGATGGGCATTTTCATGGTTTCCTCTAGGAAGTTCTCTTTGAACACATTCCTTCCCTTATTTAGATAAGCTGGTAGATTTCTCTGTAGTTAGTGAAACAAATTTCCTTATAATAAGTCATGAAACTGTTTTTCAAGATATTTAAAGCAGCTAGTCTTACTGAAAGACTTCATATGTGTTTTTAAACTATACTGTATATTAAAATTGCAATAACAACCTTGTATTTAGCTTACATATATTAAAACACTCGATCGATTTCGAGGGCAGCAAAAGGTCCCTTTTCATCAGGAGAGCAAAATTACTAGAAAAGGGAAAAAGAAGAAAAATAAAGGATTGGCAAAGGAATCTCGGAAACACGTGGTTGTAACCGGATTTTGAATAACATTTACACTGGCCGCCTACTTTTACTGAGCCAGGCTATCTTATCAAACATATAAAACATAGACTAAAAAGCAAACAAATCAGCGAAGTCAAAAAATAGGGAGCAAGGGGCAACTGCACCTTCATGCGCCAAGTCTGAACCTCGAATATATGCTGTATATTATTAATTACCTTTGTTTTAGTTAGATAAAATGAATATATAAATATAATTATTCCAGAAATAACTAAATTATTTATAATCTTAGCTTCATATCCTTTTCCCCCTTTAGATACTGCTTATCAAAGAAGCTAAGGGGAAAGGTTTACCTGTAACATGTGAAGTCTGCCCTCATCATTTATTTTTATCCATTGAAGATTTATCAACTTTAGGTGAGCTGCAAGGGAGAGTAAGACCGTCTTTGGCGACAATGGATGATCAAAATGCTCTGTGGGAAAACTTAGATGTCATTGATTGCTTTGCTACTGATCATGGTAAGCAACAATATAATATGTTTATTTCATTTTATATTTTATTCAATTTTCAATGAATTTTTTATATTATAGTTCAGTCATTAAGCATATATGAGTGTCAATAAATTCAACTCTTAAAATTTTTAATTTGATGGAAGAACATCTGAGTTGGCCCCTAGGTGGTGTAGTGGTTAGGAGAGCCTACTGTGGTACCAAAGGGCCCGTGTTAAAATCCCAGAGAAGGCATGGATGTTTATAAATGTATAGTGTTTTTGTGGCATGGGGGCACTCTAAATATATTGCCAGCTGAAGGCCTCTCATGTGGATTGGTGGTAGGTAAGAGGTGTCGGAGACCCTCGGACCATCCCTGAGGTGTGCTCTACCTCAAAATTAAGGTGGAAATAACCTTTCAAAGTTCAATTTTCTTGAGGCTGTGGTAACCATTCTTCCATGAAATTCATAAACGACAACAACATATGAGTTTGATCATCCGCTGGTTTGCATCTTTTTTGTATGAAGTCTGAACAGAAATATTTTAAATTACTTTATTATATTTCACATGAGGTTTTTATAGTTTTCTTTATGTGTAATGTAAATATGGGTCAGTTTTCCCTAAAACATTCACACTTAGGCTTCTTTCTCATGGGCAGACAGCTTAGCATGCTTTACTATAATCAAATAATACTGGCCAGTTCTGTATTTACATACATCTGTTATAATATTTAGTTGAAATGACTGGTGTGTTATTTAAAAAAATTTTTACTCTATAATGATAAAGTTTTCAGAATTAAACTGTGCTTTTAATCTGATGAAACACTGCTATTTTAAATTTTGCCTGTCATAACTACTAACTTCTAAATAAAAGATTTCATTTTGTGAATGAATATTCTTTTTAAGAACATTTCAGATGCTTAAAGATGAGCTAGAAATCCAGTTTTATAGTGCTAATCTCATTACTAATTATTATTGCTATTATTTTGATTTTTTAGCAGTGTTATTGGTTTTTTCTTATGTAAAAACTGTATAATGATAGTTAATATTGATATTTTTTTTCCTCTCTCTCTCCTCCTGTTTCTGATCATCCTTCAAACACCTGTGTTCCTCCAATGAATCTTAATAACAATTCATGCATCAAATCATAAATCTGAGCTTGAAGAATTTTTTTTAAACTTTCGTGTTTATTTCTTTAAAACTGTTTTGTATGTGTATTGGCTGAAAATGCATATGCTGAAAAAAATTTTTTCCCCTGTAATTATTTACATTTTAAAGATGGACAGTCAGATTTATAATTTGATAAATATTTTCCAATAGCTCCTCATACTCTGGCAGAAAAGACGAGCGAAGCTGCACCACCTGGCTTCCCTGGTCTTGAAACAATGCTTCCATTGCTCCTAACAGCTGTAAACGAAGGAAGACTTACATTAGAAGTTTGTACTTTTAAAATATATTCAAATTCATCTGTAGGGCTAAAAGACTATATTATATCACTCTTAATAAGCTCTGGGTATTTTGCTGGTGACTAATTTTACAAATATTTTATCAGGAACTTGCTTTTAAAAAATCTTTGTGTACTTGTAGTAGAACAGTTATATGAAGTTTGGCAATCTTTAGTTGGTGGCTGTTATTATGTATTGTTTCGATCATTAACTAGGGAGATTTAAATCAGAGTATGCCCAGTTTAGATGTTTCCATTATAGGATATCTTGCACTAAACAATTTTGTCCAGAATGAAATATGCATTCAACTTAATACTTCCAGCAAGGAAACATACTTTTATCATCAGTTCATTTTCACTGTTGTCAGTTTTTTCTAAAGGTAAGAAATGTATCATAGTTATTTTATTAAAGAAGGAATGAAATAAAATGGTACACTTTATTGGTTATTTCTTAATTATACTTACTTTGAAAACAACAGTGATATTATAAGAAAAGAATAACACATTTTATTTAGTTATGGCCATGTATTTTTCATTAGAAAATTGTTTGGTTTCTTTTATCTTCTCATGTGTGTGTTGTACCCCAATTTTCCTTCTCTGACAAATAACCTCATAAGTTGAGTTACTAAGGCTGTTAATTTTTCTTACTTATTTCTTATGTCTTTAAAACAGTGAATGGGAAATAAAATATAGATGTATTTGTTTAAACTTCTAGAATGAAATTTTTCTTTAGATAGCCTATGAAAAGATTAATGTCATATATAGAACAGTAATTAAGAATATTATCGAATATTACTCTTGACTGAAAATTAAAATCGGGTCTAAATTATTAGTAATTGGTGGCATGTGTGATGTGACACAACTAATCGAACAAAAGTTTGTAGATTTTAATGTTAAACTAAGAACATTTGTTTCTTCCTCATTCAGCTATGTAATCTACAAGAGTATGTAGTTGAGAGGATTTTATTTTCTCTTTAACTAATATGTCTCAATTCAGAGTGCTTAGTTTTGTATTGTGTTTCTGGTTATCTACTTTACTGTCTTAATTATGCATTCACATTGAATTTAAGAGTGTTGAACTATAGTTTTCTGAAATATCTGAATAAATTTCAATTAAATAATTTAAAAATTTTGTACGTTTTGAAAACTTTTTATACCTTCTTGGATCAAGTAATATGAGTATTTCCCGAATAAATCTTTTATATCAGTAAATGCAAATTGAAGATTAACTGGCAATTTTAGTATAAATATAAGAATAAATAATTTAATAGAATTGATTCATGGCTGTAACTGCAATAAGAGGCCATTAAAAGTGGAGTTTTTGTGGACGATCTATTTGCTTTATCAGCTAGAATCTGAAAAAAATGTGTTGCCTTCCTTGTTCTCCTCCTTCCATCAGAGTAATGAAAAATGGGAGAATGTAAAATATTATATATTCATTATTGTATAAACTATTTTATATTTGGTAAGTAAGAAAACACTCGGCTGATTTTGTTCTGCTTTAAGTTTACATTTAATTTTTTCATTTCTTTTGAATGATCTTTTCTCATATAATAGTGACAATTTTTAAGATCTGTAATTTCCGTAATATATTTTTTCAGTTATCTGTAATATTATGAGGAAAGCTTAGCTATCTGAAACATTCTTATAAAAGGGTAAACACAAAAATTTATGTTGCATATATTTTTTACTTTGGGATATGACCAAAACTGCGAACTCTTAAAAATCTTAGTTTATTTTGTTAAATACTTAATTTGAAATGAAATAAGTGTATTATACGTAGAACTTTCACTTTTATAGTAAAAAAAGGAAGAGTCAGGCCAAATATAGTCGTATTTCAATAAGCCAAACCTAAAGGGACACATCCATTAAAAAACAAATATTGAAAATTCAACTTTGAATTGGTACAGTCAAGTACCAAAAATTTACCTGAAATCTGCACTGCCTCTCAAAATATAAACATTCAGTTTATAGGTTCCGGAAATGGCAACAAGGAGTATGCAATATCGAAGAAAAAATACTTTAAATTATGATGTCATTATGACTAAATATTTTGAAATGAATCATGAATAATGATGTATAATAACACAGGGTTCGTAGCAGTCCTTATAAGTGCTTATAAGTCCTTATATTTGAAAATAAAATATAAAGGCCCTTATAGGTGCTTACTTTTTCTTTAAAGCCCTTATTTTTTGTTTTTAGTGCTTATTTTTTGCTTTTAGTGCTTTTTTTTTTAATGAACGCGCTATTTTTCCCCGTATCAAAGCTGAAACTAAATAAACAACTTTTCTTCCTAATATGGAATGTCAGATTGTGAATCATAGCCCCGGAAATAGTTTTTTCCCCTTTCTCTGCATTAACATAACCTTTGGTATGCACGAAGAGTACAGGCAGGTGCCCCGTCGTTCTATTGGTCAAAGAATTGCGAAAGCAATAGAAAATTCCGGTACATTCGGCTTTCTTTTCCTCCCATCCAAATACTACACACGTTTGAATTTCTATCAAGATCTCAATAATTTGCATTCTCATTCCGCTTGGTCACTTCATATTCGTGTTTATTATGATCGTTATGCTTATATTATGAGCATATGTATGAATGTTTATAATAACATAATTGCAGTAACTGCTGAAGTATAGTAAAAAAATGTGTTGCCTTCCTTGTTCTCCTCCTTCCATCAGAGTAATGAAAAACGGGAGAATGTAAAATATTATATATTCATTATTGTATAAACTATTTTATATTTGGTAAGTAAGAAAACACTCGGCTGATTTTGTTCTGCTTTAAGTTTACATTTAATTTTTTCATTTCTTTTGAATGATCTTTTATTCACATTGTAGCTATTCTTTGTCATGAGCTTTTTGTTATATTTTGAGTCTATCAATCTGAAATAGAACAGATTCCATTGGAATAAAAAAACCTTCAGAAAATAAATAAATAAATAAAAAAATAAAAACGCCTTGCAGTGAATATTTTATGAAATATTTTGGAGCCTATACTGAATGTTGTTTCTATGCTAGCTCAGAAATTAACAATAAAAATATTTGAAATTTTATTACATATTTATTTTATTTCATTAGCTTTTCCATATTTGTTTTCAATATGCATGGTTTTTAAATTGTTATTTGTATATCAAGATAAACTATCTTATGACTATTCTTAATAGGATTTGGAGAATAAATTGTACCATAATCCAAGAAAAATTTTTAACCTACCAGAACAAAAAAACACATATGTAGAAGTAGATTTAGATGAAGAATGGGAAATACCTTCCAAAACTTCTTTCAGTAAAGCTCAATGGACACCTTTTGCGGGTCGCAAAGTTAAAGGCCAAGTAAGACGTGTGGTATTGCGCGGAGAAGTTGCATTTATAGATGGCCAGGTAATTTGTTTCCGATTTTTTCCCCTTTGTTGATGAAATATTACTAATTAGTGTTTGAATTTGTAATCAAATAAGTGTACTTACTCTTTGTGCAAATATTTAAGATTTTAGTTGAACCAGGATTTGGGCAAAACATTATTAGTTACAAACCAGAAGCTGAAGTAAAAGCTCGTTCACCTTTGCATATCAGAACTGTATCACCAGCTGTGCCACCTGTACCATCTCTGGTAACAAATTTGTAATCTTCTCTTTTATTCTTTCTCATAATAGTACTTTTATAGTTTTTAAGTGATATAGAAATAGGATGCATATGATGTAATTATTCACTCTTATATTATTATAGCATTATTAAAAAAATAGGAGTATTTAAGGAATATTTTCAAGTGATTTAGAATTATTTTTAAGAACATTTAAAATAGTTGAAAAACAGAAATAGCCTGAAATTCTTAGTGTAGCAGGCTACTTATTAAGTCGCATTATTTCCAGCTGTTGAGGTGTGTTTGATAATAATGTAATTTTATTATATTTTTTTGATAATAATGTAATTTTAATCTATTCTCAATAACTATTAATTACTATATTTCTGATTAACTGTACTTAGCTGCATTTAAATTTTTTCTTGAAACTAAAGCATATACTCCTATGCTTAAAAAGTTTATGGAATATATTTTTAAGGTATCTTTATTCCAAATATAAAAAGTTATTACCTTCAAAGTAATATCGTCTGGAATACCTACACCTCCGCCAGTGCATCTGATATTCGTGGAAGCAGTGAAAAAATGTCTCTATTGGTATGTAGTAAATTGACTATGATTTTGTTTTAGATAGAATCTTGATAAGAGAGAATAAAAGGTGAGAAATAAGGCAGAATGAAACAACATAAGCTTTTTTGCTGAAATGACCTTTACTCAAAATTCAACATCTCATCGAGTAGTCAAAAGATGCTTTAACTCTGTTTGCACAACAACACAAGCTACAATGTTTGGGTGTTGTTGCATCGTATACGTACATTTCTTCATTAGAGAGCATGCTATGCCTACTAACAGCTAAATTCACTCTCACTTATGTGGCATGGTTCCTTTAAACGTTTTGAGCAGAAGAGTATTAACCTTTTAACTGTCATGCCCAAAATAATCTCAGGCACAGCACTGGTATTCCAAAATGTCACGCCCGAATATTACTCGGGCTAATTTTTTTTTGAGTGCATCGTATTGTTATACCTGAATATATATTTTGAGAAGTATATTTCGGCTTCAGTCCAACGGATGGCAGCATTTGATTGAAGGTTTCAGAGGATAGAGGTAAAAGTTCAAAGTGTCCGGCATTTTTTTGATTTTTTGACTTTGAGGCAAACATTTCATTTTTGGAATAAAAAAAATTGACAATCTATGCACCCAAATCATCAAAATGACTTGACAGTTAAAAGGTTAATATTGTTTAGTTATGTATGCTGAACTTTATTTGGGCAATTTTCTGTTAACGGGGTGTCAATTGCCAAATGTGTGCCAAAGTATATAATGTAATAGCCTGTTATATTGCATCATGATTAGCTGTACAATGTTTAATGTCTGCACAGCTTTGGCACTGTGCACCTTAAACGTTATATATATTTTATTATACTTGTATTTTACTGCTATCATGAGTTTTTTTTTTTTTTTTTTTTTTTCTTGAAGCTTTAGTACTAATAGAGTGCTGCCATCTAGTTAGATTTTGCACCAACATTTACACTTGATGCTAAGTAGTGCCCAGTAAAGAGGAAAGTACCTTTATTTGTAACATTTTTTTCTATGCATCTTATATGGTAGGTTTTCCAAAAATCTTTTTAATTGACAAGATTATAGCATTGCATAAATGCAGTTACAGGAACAATTAGGATTTAATCATTAAGACACAATAACACGCCCAATAAATACTGATTCAGAAGTCAAACAACAAAAATCAGCGTTAATTCACAAAATTATGCATTAATTATTATTTTAATTATTATTGATTATTATTGATTATTATTGGATTAATGCATTAATCCTCATTTTTAGTGAAATTACTGCAAAACACGGAATTTAGTTGCTCATTAAAGTATAATATAATATTTAATGTGTTTTAATATATCAGTAACTAAAAACTAAGGTATAGTTTAAAGAGAGCAATATTTTAATAATTTATTGAAAAACCCCATTTATATATCATAAATGCTGATGCATGCAATATGCAATGTTTGCATATTGCATGCATCAGAAATGCAAATTTTGTGAATTAACGCTGATTTTTGTTGTTTGACTTCTGAATCAGCATTTAATCATTAGTTAGTATAAATCTGGTGAAGGAGATCATTGTTATGATAAAGTCATTAAAGTTCAAAAGAACAGTTCCTTAAATTTTTATTTAATGCCTAAGCATTTCATTAGACTGCTTTTTTTTACAGCAAAATTATATTGTGATGTTTGAATATTCTTCAATTTTTTTCATCTTGTCATGTAATTTATAACAGCTAGTGAAGGTTTTGATTAAGATTTTAACAGATTTGAATGCATTTGAATCCATATCAAGATCAGCATCAAATAAAATTTTCTAAATATATTCAGTATGACAGAGAACTAGCTCTTCTCTATTCAGTTTCTCAGATCTATGTCTAGCTTTAGGTTTGCAATCAGATCACAATCTGATTAAAAAATTTTGTCATTAGAGAAAGGGACTCCACATTTTATTTTAATGCATTAATCCTCATTTTTAGTGAAATTACTGCAAAACACGGAATTTAGTTGCTCATTAAAGTATAATATAATATTTAATGTGTTTTAATATATCAGTAACTAAAAACTAAAGTATAGTTTAAAGTGAGCAATATTTTAATAATTTATTGAAAAACCCCATTTATATATCATAAATGCTGATGCATGCAATATGTTTTTATAGTGTAATATCTATTTTTTATCACTTTTTGATAATAACTCTGCCTAGATTTAGAATAAAAATATTACTGAAGACTGGTGATAGGAAATTTTATGTAGCATAAAAGAATCATGTTGCCAAATAGATGTCTTTCACTTAAAATACAAAAAAGTAGCATTCAATTGAATTTTGTTTACATATCATCATACATATTTTATTCATATCAAGTGACATATTCATATATTTAATTGCTAATTTCATCATTTATTAGATTATTGTTAAACTATGTTGTATCGTTTTTATACTTTCTTTCACTGTTGGATTATTAACCAGGTATCAATAAGAAAATATTTTCTTGAATGTCCTATTATATTATTTTTATGTTTTTATATAACTGGAAATGGGGATATATACTTGATCTTTCTTCCTTAAAACTGCAAATGCTTAATTATCATCATATACATTTGCTATGAGATTTTTATTATAATTCAGTTTAGAACTTACCGATTTGTGCAAAATAAATGATCGTAGACCCTCTCAGTCTATAAAGACCTGGAGGAAAAAAGCTATAGATGGTTATTTTATGGGGTCTAAAAATCCCTAAATATTTTATAATAAAGATAGCATTACTTTTATTTATTTTAGTGAAAATATAAGCATAATAAAATCATAGCAAAAAGTACAGGGTGTCCGTAAAAGAATGTCCGAGTTTCAAATTGTAATAGTATCAGCTGAGATCATTCGACAGTTGTGGTTGAAGGTGACGAATAAAGATTAACTCCAACAATTTCAGATAAGCGCATGCTCTTGTACCGCTACATCATTTTCACAGTTTCAGCGTCATCTATTCAAAATGGCGACTTCTGAGCGTAAAGCGTTTTGTGATCTACAATTTGCTAAGAGTGATTCGGTAATTGCCGTTACAACGTGCATTCCAATTAAAGTTTAAACGTGATCCCCCATGTGACAGAAATATCCGCCGATGGTATCAAAAATTCGAAATGACCGGATGTCTTTGTAAAGGTAAAAGCCCAGGAAGACCCAAAGATTCTGTAGAGAATGTGGAACGTGTCGAAGAATCTTTCCGTTGTAGTCCGCAGAAATCTGTTCAGAAAGGAAGTCGTGAACTACAGTTGCCAAAGACGACAGTCTGGATGATTAAAAAAAAAAAAACTTTACACTTGCGTCCATACCGATTACAGTTGGTACAGCAATTAAAGCCAAATGATTGTGCAGTACGATTTCGTTTTGCATGTGAAGTTCTTCAACGGCACAATGACTTTCTGCATCATGTGGTGTTCAGTGATGAGTCGATGTTTCATACAAGTGGGAAGGTAAATACCCATAATGTTCGTATATGGGGTTCAGAAAATCCTCATCAACCTGTACAACACACGAAAGAGATCTCCAAAAATAAACGTTTTCTGTGCTGTTTCACGACGACAAGTGTACGGAACCATTTTTTTTAGCTGAAGCTACAGTAACAGGGGTTTCTTATCTGGAATATGCTACAACAATGGCTCTCTCCACCAATTAGTAGAAAGGGAACCTGCAAACTTTATTTGGCAACAAGATGGAGCCCCTCCTTATTGGAGTCACTTTGTGGGAGATTGGTTAAACGTTGAATTCCTTGACCGTTGGATTGGTCGTCATGGTCCAGGCGACAGAGTTCTTTTACCTTGGCCGCCTCGTTCACCTGACATCACGCCTTGTGATTTCTTCCTTTGGGGCTTCGTAAACGATCGGGTCTACATTCCACCCCTACCCCACGATTTACCAACCTTGAAAGATAGAATTGCATAGGCTGTTGCTTCCATTACTCCAGACTTGCTGCAGACAGTATGGGAAGAATTGCATTTTCGTTTGGATGTGTGCCGTATTACTAAAGGCTCATACATTGAAAACTTATAGGAAAAACTAGGTTAGTTTTCCTTCAATTTCATGTATGATTTGTTATATTTAGTATAAAATAAACTCCTGTAATATACCATTAAAACTCAGACATTCTTTTACGGACACCCTGTATTTCAAATAAAATTTTAAACATTTAAAAGGATTAAAAAAAGGATATCCGTTTGTACTGAGGAAGTCTCAAGAGTAAAATTATTATTAAGGATAAATTATGACTGTTCCTTAATGTTGTTTTTTTGTTATTTTTTTAATTATAAAAATATTGTAGCTTTCTCCTGCTGGTGGAAGAACCACTCCAGCTCCCCTGCTATTTTCCTCTGACCAGGTAGGAGCTAATTTATATGGTCCGGAGATTATTGTACCAACTGCTTCATCAGGTATTAAATCTGAATTTTAAGTTTAACCTTCTGTAATTCTGCTTATAATTTTGTAGTAATTTTTTGAAGACTTCAGTTTTAAAATATTATTATTGGTATTTAAACTAAAAAATATCATAAAAAAATTCCCCCACATTTTTTCAAAATTTTTTAGTAAATTATGTTTTTATTTTTTTAAATTATTCCTTTCCTAATTTGAGAGAAAAAAAAGGGGGGGGGTGGGGATCGAATTACACTTATTTTCTACTGAGTTAATTTTATTTTTATTCATTTATTTATTTTATTGCTATGAGAATATTTTGAGTAAATTCATTTATCAGGTAACTTGTTACAAAAGTAAAAAGAATTTTTTCGAGTATTAGTAAATAAAATGTTTAGTACGATCTTAAAATTTTGAAACAGATTAAAACATTTTGAAGATTTTCAGGAAACATTTTTTTTTTTTTTTTTTTAAATGGACTTTGTTAAAGAAAAGCAGAAATTTTATTTCAATTCTAAATGAAAGGAAATGATATATATAGTTATCTTTTTTTCCCTAATTATCCATTTCAGTTTTTTAGAGAAAGATTTATATATTTATTCATATTTTGTTATTCATATTTTGTTATTCTTTGTTTAAATTTGTTAGTATTTATTACAGGTTAAGTTTACTTAGAATTTAGTTAAAAATTTGCAACACAGTGATATAAAGCAAGTTTGACTATAAAAATTGTACTTATGTTTTTGAGTGTGAAACCTTTCCCATTTTACATTTTTTACTTGTTTTAGGTAATATATGCAAAGAAAGGTTATAAATGTCATATAACTGTGTATTATATTTGTATTTTATATTTTATTATATGTTTAATAACTTGTAAATTTTAGCTCAGTATTTTAAAATAATAGAATGAAATATCATGATGCAGTTTGAATATAATTCTCCATGAGCTCTGTAATAGATATTGTCATAAGATTAATTTATAATTACTTTATGACACATTTTCTTCTTAATAAGTAAATCGGTTATTTAATTGTTTGACATCTTGTACTTAACATCTTTGTTTTGAGAGTTTGTTATGTAATTTTTGTTTTGGCAAAACTCATAAAAATACAGTATATATGGGTTCAGATTCTTTTATTCCATTAAAAAAATATGGGCATTGTTTTTTTCTGCTCAAAGGTGTTTGATTTAATTAAACTTATTCATCACTCGTTTATTTTAAATACTAACAAGTATTGCTTCATGTTTAAAATAACTCTATTAGATATTTTTTTTGTAATAAATTGATATTCAAATAAATTAATACTATAGCTTCCAAACTAATTTGATTTATATCAAAACTAGATATATAAAATTTGAGACTGTACTGAGCTAGGTTAGGTAAGGCTTACTAACTTCCTGAAAGCATCTGAGGGCTTGTATCATAGGAGGAATATCTAAGGGCAAGAGGTTTGTATTTATATGTATGGAGGAGAAATATTATAGTAAATGCAAAAAGCCACATGCAGTGAGGTTGTTCAATCTTTTGGGATCACTGGGAAATAAATCATGGTAGAATGATCAATTTTCAATAGTTTTATATACCTGGCTAAGTGTAGAACAATATATGTTAAGGTTATCAAAATAATTTTTCAGATTTAAGATAGAAATTATATTATAAATATTACTATATTACTTCAGTCAAACTTAATCAAAATAATACTCTGAAACCTCAGTTAAAGTATAATTCACTGTCTGATTATTCATCGTCTCATGGCCATTCATTGTCTGAAATGTTCGTAAATCAGAACTATTTTCTCTATAGGAATTAACGTGAAATGGATTTAATTCATTTATGAACAAAAGGTGATTGTTTATGTAAAATTTATTACAGTAACTTTTGCACAAGTTTATGGCTCACAAATCAATGAAAGTTAGTCCATCTAGGATAAAAAAAGGTAAGCATAAAAATAAAATGCATAAATAGATGAACATTTAATTTAATTTTACCATACCAATATGAAAGAGAGTAGATGATGTAAATGTTGAGGAAGAGGAAAGGAAGATGTGTTATTTTTAGCAGAAGGAATCTTCCTGCATGAAGATATCAGTTAACAGTCTTTCTGGAGTAACTTCTTTTCTGCTATCTTAGTCTTAATGTCACTTGACACTGCAGGAGCCTTACTGGGCTTCTATTTCACTCAGTATGTGTCTAGTGTGATATGTTGTTGTCTATTATTTTAAACCTCCGAGCATTATGGGTTTAGTTTTGAAATTTCAAAGTTCCTCAAAATGTTATGAATAAATTATATTTTCTTAACTATAATCAGAAGAAAAAAAAAAAAAAACTCTCAGAAAATTTTCATATCTAATGAATATGAAAGCAACCCTTCTATACAGAATTTTCTGCCCATAACGCTGAGAGAGTTAAAATGTTTCTAAAGAGAGACATAGTGTCATTGAAAATGCTTAGGTTGTAGCTTGCTACTGCTTTATTAGGGTTACGTCATTCTGTGAAACATTTCACCTTGTCCTGTTTTGCATAAATTTCATAGGCCAGTTCGTCTTTTCTTCTTTCTCTGAAAACACTTCTCCTCAATTGCCTTTTATTGCTACTTCTGAAGTTGTTCCACTTTTTTTTTTTTTTTTTTTTTTTTGTTAGCTCATTTTTATGCTCTTATAATAACTCTTTCATGTGTATATTCTTAATTTCCAAGCCCATGGTTTTGCCTAGAGACCCAATATCATTGATAGCAAAATTTTGTCAGTATAATTTCTCTCAAAATCTCTGCCTGTAACACAGCTAGGCCATAATTTTCCCCAGGCTGAATTCTTGAACCTGTAAGTCTTTTGCTGTCAGGCTTTGTTAATGAGAATTAATGGAAATCTTTGAATGTTGATTTTGTGTCAGAGGTTACTTGAAAACACCTTTGATGATAATCATCTGTTGCTGACTTGAGCATCTGTACGTTGAGGCATATTTTGCCATCCGAGATTTTTTTGGTTAAAATAATTTGTTTGTGAACTGATTTGTTTATGATCAGAAGTATTCATGATAAAAAATCCAAAAAATTTCATGATCCAAAAAATTTCACCAGTATTTTACTTTCAGAATTACATGACTCTAAATATATAAATATGATGCTAATATAATTTAGAATTTTTTTTGGAGGGGGCATAATATAGAATTGCAAAATATATTAAAATTAAAATGCAGTTCAGATGCATATTATTTCACAGCATTTAAATAATTATTATTACTATTACATATGAGAACATTTAAAAAGTCCAAAATGATTAAATTATTTTTAAGCTGCGAAAATACTTCTTAAGATTTTTTGATAAAATTCTGCAGTTCTCATAGTTTATTGTGAAATTTTTAATGCTGAAATATGTCTGAACAAAATTATCTTGTAAATTTTCCTAAATGTAATGCTTATTTAGCTTATTTATGCATTTTATGTGAAAGAATTGGTAAATGTTTGTTCGATATACCTAAGAGAGATTAGTTTTATTTCTTATTACTTTTCTATCCATTTTGAAGAATGTTAGTTTTATTGGTTAGTAAAGTCATTCTGTTAATGATTATTGATCAAATAGAAATTATGCAATATTTAACAAATAAGTCTTTTGCAATAATTTTTATACTTAATTTTTCAGATAGTATTTCTGATTAGCTTATGAAGCAGATGAAGCAGGAATAGTTTGAAAATATATCATGTAATACTGTAGCATATAAATATTTTGATGTAATAACAGTCTTAAATCTTTAATCGAAAAAGAAAATGTAGTGTGGTATTTTTCTAATTTTTAAACATTGAAAACATTAAGAGTATTTTTTTTTAAATGATTAGGATTGGACATTTTTCAAGAATTAAAAGAGTGAGAATAAAAAATTCAGGAAATGTTAAACTAAAATAATAAGCACACATGAGCATTTCCTTATATCTTCTTTTCGTCAGTAACCTTTATGATACTATCTTTCTTTTTCATACATAATCTGTTTGGTTCTCTTCTTTATAAAAAAAGCTGGAATACATTGGTCTCCAAAAAAATCAGCAACTCTGTCTAGTAAAGTAATTGGAAATGCAATGTCTTTCCTTCCAAGCATGAAATCTGTAAAGATGCCAAAACAGGCCTTACATGGTGGTGGTACTTATATTGTAGGAAATAGTAAGTTACCTTCTACTTTCAAATGTTTGCTTCTGAACTTTCTAAAATATTAAGCAGAAGCATACTTAACATTAACTTTTTGGAATTAACCGCTAGTCCAACAAAACTAATTTAATCATCTTTTTTATCAGCCTTGTTGTATGCATATTTAGCTAACATAATAATAATATTTGAATTATAAGGTACTGTTTTTTAAAACAAGTTTCTGTAATATAAAATATCGATATTTAGTATGTTTGCCTTGTCAGTATTAAATATTTAGCTTAAAATCATCATGGCAAGAAAAATCAATAAATCATTGTCCACCATGCAACAGTTTTAATATAATTGTTACAATATATTGCTTATTACACAGTATAATACTATAACTGTTAGAGTATATTGCTTATTATACAATGTAACTGCTATAACTGCTACAATATATTGCTTATTATGCTACAGAATGTTCTGGTATGCTTCTTACAGGTGCAAGGTATTTTACTTGTTTTCAAAATTATTTTTTACAATGCAAAAACATATTGGACATTATCTAATAGAGAAACACTAAAGTTTGGTGCACAAGACATTTTGTGGGCTATTTCCTTAAATTGACATAAAGAAATAGTTATAGAATAATGTTGACATAAGTGAAAGCTTATAGAGTAATTAAGTTGACATAAATGAAAGTGTATGAGTTTTCATTTGCTTGAATTCTACCTGTGCTCAATTTATGGAATAAAATGCTGCAGCAGTTTTCTGTCAAAGTTTTTGCTATGCAGTGATATGGTTAATAAGATATGGTCAATGCAGTGATATGGTCAATAAGAAAAGCTGGTCTCTGGTGAATCCCCAGTGAAAAAACGTCATCTATGGATCTGGGAGGTTAAGAGTACAGTGTATGGTCATTGTTTTTCTACTAGTCTACCAAATCCTTTGTAGACAAACTGAGGCAAACATATTTAATGTAATTTAAACAAGGACCATAAATTTCTTTTCCCTATCTGTCATTTCTAAAATCGATAGTTCTATTTGGGAGAGCTTTCGATCTCTATATTCGATTCAAATCATTACTTCAATTAAGTCTTAATGACTTTTATTTACACACATATTTTATATAACAATATATACATAATTCGAGATCAATTTCAAATCAAAAGATGAGGATCATCCCCCCTTCGTATCAAATTCTATCAAGAGAAACCGAGTGAGCGACCGCTCTCTTCCAAGTTCATTTTTCAATTCCTCGTTGCCACTGGCAGAAGAGAAACTTTCGCTCATTTCGCGTTCGAGTTGTAATATTTCTCCCATCTTTTGATTTTTGACAAAGTATGAAAAAATGGAAACAATTGTAAAATGAAAATTGAAATACGAATATAAGATGAGTAATTTAAATCTTACCAAAATCAACAATTTTATCTAGGTGTAACAAATATCTTGAATATTTTTAACTTACTTAATATTCTGCTAACTTATATTCTTTAAACAACAGGCAAAAAATTCTTTTCTGAAAAATACTAGTAAAGAGATTAATTCACTAAACTGGAAAATCAAATTGTATACAAAATTAAATTCAAAGAAAGGAATAAAGAAAACAAATAATAGTGATACTGAAAACAAAATTAAACTAATTAAAGTTCTTTGGTTTCACAATTTTTCTGCCATATTTACTAAACTGAATGTTTTTAATCAGAATTTTCAAGTTCACAGTCTTTATCAATTACTAAATCATTCCTTTTACCAGTATTTCTCGTAGATGTAGATGATTCAGTAGTTTTAAGTTCGAAGATAGATTCTTTATTGTCTATCTCCATTGGAAATACTCTTTGAACTGGTCTTAACGGTTCACCACTAGATGTTTTTACTTTCACCACTCTGATGTTGTTGTGTTTTCCTGGGTATGTTTCGATCACACGACCCATAGGTCAGTCTGTTCTTTTCCTTTTATCGTCCTCTACAAACACTAAATCACCTTTCTTGATAGTTTGCGAAGGTACAGTCTTTGGTCGATGTACTAACATATCAAGATATTCATCTCTAAATCTTTTACGAAATTTCACACGTAACTTTTGGTGGTATCGCGATCTTTTCGATAAGTTGATTTTATCCAAACTGTCCAGATCCGGAACACCTTCAGTTCGCACATCCTGAATAAACATAGATGGAGTGAGTGCACATAAATCGGTGGAATCTTCTGACTCGTATGTTAATGGTCTGGAGTTGATATTTGCTTCTGCATCACATAGGATAGTTAACATTTCTTCATATGAAAGTTATGCTTTTCCCAGGACTCTTCTCAATAATTTCTTGATCATCTGAACCAGTCTCTACCACCAGCTGCCCCACCATGCTGCGGTTGGTGGATTTAACTTCCACTGAATTTTCATTATCGAAGAACTTCTGATAATTTGGTTCCAGTCAACAGATCGTAGCAAATTCCTTGCCCCTACAAAATTTGTGCCATTATCGCTGTATACTACTCTTGGCCGTCCTCTTCGTGCTATGAATCTTGTAAATCCGAGAAAAAATCCATTAGTCAATAAACTTTCAATTAATTCTAAATGAACCACACGATAAACTCCACAAGTAAAAAGCAAGATCCATGCTTTTCTATTTTGGTTTAAATAAAGTGGTCCTGCTTCATCAACACCTGTCACCTCAAATGCATAAGCATCTCTGACTCGATCTTCTGGGAGAGGACAATGCACTGTATCAAGAGCTTTCGCTGAGTGTCTCTTGCACCGAATGCACTTCGATATGACTCCTTGTACTGTTTTTCTTCCTTTTATTATCCAAAATTTTTGACGAATATTGGTCAAAAGAACTTGAGTACCAGTATGTAAAAGTTGTAAATGGTAGTCTCGTATCATTCTTTCTACTAATTCATGTTTGGATGGAAGTACAATGGGGCACCGGAAATTTTCATCATCATGTCTTCTTTAAATCTTCGTTTTCAATCTTATAATCCCTTCTTCATCCCTGAAAGTAAAATGTCCCTTCAACTGTTCTTCACTAGAGAATGCTTCTTGTTGAACAATCGTCACTAATTTCTTCTCGGCAATGTCCAATTCTTCAAAACTCAGGGTTTTGCCATAATTTCTTCTTCCATGTCTACAATTATTTATGAATCTTAGAATCCAAGAAATCATTCTCACAATTTTAAAGTAACTTGAAAAGGAAATCAGATACCACTTTCCAGCGGTGATATTAGCCAAAGTTGAAATAATGTTCTTTCGCTTTTCTTTCATAATTTCTTCTTCGTTAGTAATCACTTCACTAGTTGGCCACACTTCACCTTTCTTCATAAGCCATTCTGGCTCTTGCCACCAGCGAGATTTTACAAAACTCTTAATCGAACACCCTCGTGATGGTATATCTGCTGGATTCGAATTTCCTAGAATGTGACGCCATTCAGATTCCGATGACAATTTTCGTATCTCTCTTACTCTATTTGCTACAAATGGCACCCAATGGTCATCTCTTTGGATCCAAGAAAGAGCAGTACTCGAATCTGTCCAATAGTTCCTTGTAACGTTGTCTAATTTGAGTGTTTGTAAAGCAAGAGCTGCGAGTCTGACTCCTATACAGCAGGGTAATAATTCTAGACGATTTATGGTCATTTTTCGTAATGGACTCACTCTACTTTTGGGCTAGAAGAAAATAAACCGATACATTTTTCACTTGTTTCTTTTCTTAAATAAATCATACACCCATAAGCTTGTTTACTTGCGTCATAGAACATATGAAGCCTAAGACTTTCATTTCCATTTATATCTAAAGCCCTTGGAATTCTAACACTGGATAAAAGTGACAAATCATCAATCCACGAATAGAACTCTTTTCCTAAGTCTTCGGGTATATTTGTATCCCAACCAATTTTTAACAACCATGTCTTTTGTATGAGTAGTTTAGGTGTTAGCATTATAGGGCAGAGAAAACCCATGGGGTCGAAAATGCAATGTACTGCAGACAATATATTTCTTCTAGTAAGATTCACTGGTTTGTAAGTAGCAGTCTTCACCTCACAGAAAAGGCTATCATCTTCCTTATCCCACAAAATTCCCAACACAGGAGTAGGTTCTATACTGTCTTCAGATTTCAGAAGTGTGCTCCCACCCTCTCAAATCGAATGATGCAGAATCTAATATCTGTTTTGATTCCTCGATGAATCGCGTAAGTCTCTCTTCATCAGGAACAGATGTGATGCAATTATCTACGTAGAATGATTCTTTTTTTAAATTTTCCCGCTGTTTCAGGATATTTAGACGAATTTAGATCAATGTGATGGCTTAATACAGCAGCCAATAAAAAGGGACTGCAATTCAATCCAAAAACAACGCGTTTATGTCTAAAAACTCTAAGTTCCTCCTTGTCAAAATCTTTCCACCATAAAAATCGTAAGAAATCACGATCACTTTTATTCACTGACATTTGCAAAAAAGTCTTTCTTATGTCTGAAATAACTTCTATTCTTGCAAAATCTAGAATTCTTGCGAAATCTAGAATTCTTGCAAATCTATTATAGGAATAATTTGTTCCAGCAAATTTGGACCCTTTTCTAGACAATCATTAAGTGAGCGCAAATTTTTGTCTTTACAGGAAGCATCAAATACCGGTTGCAATTTCGTGGTCAAAGTTTCTTTGAATACCCCTTTATGTGGTAAATAGTGACACTGATTATTCATTTTGTGTTCAGGAACTTCTATAATTCCTTCATTCAACCAATCTGTGAAAACATTTTCGAAATCCTTGAATTTGCCCTTTTGTATCTTCAACCGGTGTGTCGTACTGTTTAGACGCTGTCTAGCAATATCGAAATTTTGACTTAAACAGTCCTTTTCTGTTACCCAAGGGCAACTGAACCTCATATCTTCCCTCTTTAAAGGTAACAGTTTCGTTAAAATGATTCAATCAATGCGGCAATTTCCATTTCCTTTCTACATTTTGTTTCAACAGGGTCTTGAAATCCCCAATAAATCTAATTTCCACAAATTTTTAATCTTCGATGTGTGAATTAATAAAAA